TCTTAGGACAAGCGCCTTGGGCGACAACTACCTTCCATTGACGTTTGGTTTCTTGTCTTAGATTGCTATGCAATTCTCAATCATTATGATGATGTACCATTAAAAGTTTGCCACAACATTTTTCGAGGCACCCCATATGAACTCTTTGCTTGGGCTTCTAGCTGTTCAATCATCAAAATAGGGGTCAAAATTTTGGCAAACTTCGCAAACAATTTTGGCTTTAACTAACTTAAACTTTATTTTCAACATACGAATACAAAACGTCAAAAACCGGAATAACTTACATAGATCTTACTTATTATCTCCATAGCTCACAGCAAATGCAAAGAAAACCATTACCCTATAATGAACATTAATAAGAAATATTTGATTTAAAAAAATGTATTCCTTATGTTATTTCCTTTACAAATATCCGTTTTCAATTAATAAGATGAAAAAAGTAGATAGTTCGTAAAGTTATTAGTAATTTATGTTATTCAATAAATAAATCATCGAATTGATGGCATAAGTAAAACTGCTACAACTGAAATGATTCCAATGCGCCCTCATTAAATAACTGGATGTAATGAGATAGAAAGAGAAGGAAAAAAATATCTAATGACTATCTAGAAGCGCCGCAATTATAAATGATTATTTTAAGTCGAGAGAGACCCCTGGGGTATTTATTCGGGGTCTCTTCTAATGGAGAACAAAAATCACTTGATTTTTCTTTTTTTTAAAATCAATTTGTTCTACCTTAATCACGGCATTTTGTAAAAACGAGAAAAAATATTAGCAGGGACATTTTTTTTATGTCTTCGCTCTTATATAAGAAAATGTTGAGTAATTCTTTTTTAATTAGTTTTAAAAAGCGGAGAACGACATTCAATAAAAAAATAAATAAAAAATTTAAGAAAAAAAATCTAAACAATCGTTTTTAAAAGGAAAAATTTTACAATTTTTTTTTAATTATATATGTTTTTTTTTCCTTTAACTTTTTTATTAATTTGCCAACAAAAAAAAAATAATTTTAATATATATATATATCAGTGATTACGATTCATATCGATTTATATCACGATTAAAATAAAAATAAAAAATTTTCTTTTTTCAAACACTATGTATCGGTAAGGGGGAAAAAGCATAAGAATGAAAGCAAATTTAGATATCTTTTATTTTCTCCTAAAAATTAACTGAAAATATATAATAGTTAAGTTCCAACAGAACAAAAGTTTTAAGATAAATTTCTTTCAAGAGAGAAAATAAATAACGGAAAAATTAAATCAACATATTTTCGAGACAAATGCCAATTTCCTCATAGAGCAGTTAATGGGATATCTGCAAATGACGTAGTATGGGTTATCTCGATCCTGATTGGATGTTGAAAAGTGGCATTTGTTTACATTAGCAACTGTTCTTTCCATTCTATTTCGAGTAATCCAAATCCTTCCTGTTTCAATTCTCTTAAGTGACACATTCTATATTCTTTTTACAACTATTTCACTACACATTTCTTACTTAACACAAAGACAAGCACGAAGCCGTGTACAACATAAATAAACTAATTATGCGTCGAAGTTGCCAGGTACAGAAAACAAAAATATACCGCGGTTACAATAAAATACATAAACAAACAATAACTCTAAGTAAAGTAAAAGGCATAGACGAGGAAGAATTATACTTCAACAAATTTGATGTGCAATACGACTCCGCTTTTAATTAACTTCACGTTAATTAACATTCTAACTTATGAGGAGAAATTTAGCTCAACTTAAACAAGCAATTTTGTTTATAAACGATCAGCTAGCGATGACGTCATAGGTCACATGTGTGGATATTCGTGATCTTCTTTTTGAAGTGGATGTACCCAGTTGTAAAATTATTTCTTAAATTGTTAAGTTTAATTGGAATATACTAGGACAGGGCATGAAATTTCAGTTCTGAAGGTTGTACTACCTTCACGTATTTTGTAAAAACGATAAAAATAAATATTAACAGCGACATTTTTTATATCAATTCTCTTTTGCATAAGAAAATGACAAAAAAATTTTTTAATTAGTTTTAAAAATTGGAGAGCAATATTCAGAATGAATAAAAAAATCTAAACAATCATTTTTAAAAGAAAAAAATACGACATACTTTTAATACAAATGCGTTTTTTTTTTATTATTCAACCCGACATTTTATTAATTTACCAACAAAACAAAATATAAGGTCAGTGTGCCTAAATGCGATACGATTTCAAATAAGTTTGCCGCATTTAGGTCAATCTTGATCTTTTATTGGATATATTCATCGAGAATTGCTGAAGTATTACAACCTCGGGTTCAAAGAAATTTTTCTTGCTCTAGTTGAATTATTATCTGTAACCTAAGCAAAGATTTACCACACTCGCATTTAGGCAACCAGTTCCTAAATGGGACAGTGCATTTATACAGCGTTTTTATTTACATTCAACGTTTACATTTTATTTTCATTTATTGCTTTTATGTCTCTATCTATTATTATCTGTAACGTAAGCAAGGCAGGTAGGTATTTTATTTACATTGCACTAGAACTGCACAACGGGCTATTGGCGACGGTCTGGGAAACATCTCTGAGGATGATCCGAAGACATGCGATTACAATTTTGATCCTCTGCAGAGGGGATGGCTCTCCCACTTTGGTAATCCGACGACCTGCAAGCGAAGTCGAGCACTTTAAGGTAGAACAGTTTCACGAGGACCGATACCGCGCACCCTCGATCCCTACACAAGCTGGTGAAAGTAGTCACCCACCCGTTTAGTGACCACAGCCAGTGATGCTTGACTTCTGTGTTGTACTAGGAACCGTGTCTTTACTATCAGTCCACTGCGAGACCTGTAACCTAAGCACTGTCGCATGTTGTTGTTGCACGCCCCCATTGGCGAGCAGTGCTAGACCGGGTCCATGACGTTATACACCCTCAAAAAATCCAACACCGTCAATGGATCATCTGCTAAATCCTGTTTGGTGAGCCCCAGGCACAAGACTCTGCGGTGAGGCGAAGCCTGGTCTGAAGAACAGTTGGTACAAATTTTCAAAGTTCTTGGATCCTTCCGAAAATTTCATTGATTTAAGGTGACCACTTCGGAAGCGGGCAAGAATAGTTTGTTCCTGTCTATTAAAACCTTGGGCCAGGGAGCCTCTAGGTCGAGAACATGTCGCATTAAGGCAACTAGTTCTTAAATGAGACAGTGGATTTTTACAACGTTTTTATTTACTTTTGTGTTTCGAATCCTTAGACTAGCTAGAATTCTCCATGCTCGAAGGCAATGCAAGTCTAATTCATTTTATGATGAATGCCAGCAGCATTTATCGCAAAATTAAGTTTATTATCATTTGATATTCCGATAATTTTAAAACTAGCTAGTCCTTAAAAATAGAAATGGAGTTCTGATTTGGATGACGTATTCCCATCGTTTATGTCGGTTGCATGCAAAATTTATCGTCGATAGGAATTTATTTTCATGCAAAACTTATGATCATTTTAAAATTTGCTAAACTCAACAATTTTAATTGTAACTATGTTGAATGACATTTCAAATTATTTTCTAATAATTAAAAACAGAGTTCATCGTCATTTTAACAATTTATCGACAGTCAAAACTATGACCACTTTAAAATTATTCTCTACAATTGTAATTTTAACTTCACAACATTAACATTTATAGAAATTTCGAATATTTTCCTATCTAAGTTTGTCAAATTTCAACTGGAGTTCTATGCCTGTTGAGAATATAAATTTCATTCGTTTCCTAACCTTCGTAAAAAGCATTATCATCAAATGGAATTTATCGTCAATCAAAATGCCAACAGCTTTCAACAAGTGTGCAAAATTTTTACCTGTTGCTCTGCGCATAGTGACAAAACAAGTTACAACCGCTTCTGAACAATTTTTTTCGCTTTTAAATTTTTTGAGAAAAGAAAAGAAAGAAAAAGCTTGACTCGTAACATAAATATTGCTTACGTCATTTTTTTACTACTCACAATAATATAGAGAATAGAACTTGCTTTTGAATGAAGACTGAAAAGCTAAAGATCAGAATAAAATGAACATATCTTTGATGTCAAATGCTGATTTCTGAACCAGCTGTCAATCGTCAAGTTATTTCTTAATATTACTTTTAATTTATAATCCCGCTATAACGAACACGGGATATAGTGAACACTCGGTTAAAGTGAACGATTAAGTGGTTCCACCCAAAGTGACATTTAACTATTATTTTCACACGCTTGTAGGGAATAAAAGAGAATTTTTTATTTATTTATAATGGACTCTTTCATTTTAACAGGTTATTTAAATGAATGTTGCAAAATGTTAGTATGTTATTAAATTCAAAAGTATATAATTAAGGTTTTTAATTAAAAATAAAATAATATATGGAGTGTTATAGGAAGGATTATTATGAAGGAGTATTTAATGGGAGCCATTTCGCTAGAATAAATAATGAGTGTTTACAAAAACAAGCATATGGGTAAGCGAATCGGTGGCACACAAATTCCAACTGCAATTACTATAGAAATGAAGGAAATCAAAAAGATAAACAATTAAAAAATTCTAAAAAGTGATGAAATTAAAAAGGCAAACATCCAAAAATATCAATCTCTTCGTTATATGAAGAATAAATTCAATCTATATTATTGTTATTATATATTACTGGAATCTATATAATTGTTTCTAAATAAAAAGGACTGTTAATATATTTTATCAGATGATTTGACTAATAAATNATATCTATCTCTTCGTTATATGAAGAATAAATTCAATCTATATTATTGTTATTATATATTACTGGGATCTATATAATTGTTTCTAAATAATAAGTACTGTTAATATATTTTATCAGATGATTTGACTAATAAATAAAAGAAATCTAATTTAAATTTTTAAAAAAATTCTATTTAAATCCTTTTTTTTTTTAAAAGTCAAAAATATTGCCGATCCTGCTTGACAGGTTTCATTGTATTAATCATATAACAGACAGAGAAATGAAACAGAATGACCAGTGCTTTTTATTTCAAATAAAAACAATAAATATATTACATCAAAAACAATGAATATGAAGTTTTTTTTTTTAATAAATTTGTAAGTTTACATTTATTGCCCAAATGAATGGACTAATGTATAGATGATATCTTACAATATTTCTCTAGTTCAGCAGCTGCTGGAGGAAGGAATCTAAAATGTTCTTATGGCAAAATGTTATGACACAGGAATATTTACAGTATCCGAATAACATGAAATATGAAGATAACAATTTTCTTCTAAAACATTTTAGAACAAAAATAAACACTATAAAATAATACTAGATACAACATTATGCAATTTCTAAAACAGCCATTTCTGTACAAGTTACTATGCCACCGTCGCCTTTTGATTCGATGAATGAAATGCACTAATATACATTTTAAGAAACATGATTTTAAAATGCGCGTGACATAGGAAAAGCTTACAATAAAACAAAAGCAAATTTTGATTCATTTTCAAAAATAAAACGACAGATAAAACTCAGGTTCAAAGATTAACCTAGTTCAAAAGATTAACTTATAAAAAAAGTTGAAAACTTTTCATTCACACAATAGAAATTTAACAATTTAAAAAAAAAAATACTACTGTATACTCTGTATTTTCTGCATGTAAGTCAACCATTAAATTCACACTTTAATTGAAGTAGAGTCTTTTCGATTTCTCACATCAGTAGTGCAGAGACTTATGGCATGGTTTAAAAAGTGTTATTTTAACAGTATTAAAGTTTAGATTGAGTTATAATTGTGTAATTTTCTAAGATTTGTATTCGTTATAAGATCGATTCATTAATTAAACTAAGTTTCATTTAATAAACTTTTAGGAGGGAAATCTTCCAAGTAGCAAATAAACTGTAGATTGTTGTGAGACTCTTCGTGATCCTGGCATAAGCCTAATATGCAAACCAAAAAATATTTTTTTTAAAAATATAATGAATTCATACATTTTTAAAATTTAATTTACATAAATGACTTCATACCTAAAAATTACAAAATAATAAATTAGCGACCGCTGAGCATTTTTTAAAAACGTTATATGCCATTTAGCACTGATCGTGTGTGTCAACTGCATAAAAAAAACTTCTGTTCTAACATGTATTTGCACTTTAAAATGCATAACTCAGTTTCTGGACTCTTCTCTTCCTAAAACTTAATAAATGCTGGAAAACTATCAACAAAAAAAATTCTTGTTGCTCAAGAAAGAGATTGAAATATTAGGCAAATTAGCTAGTTTAAATTGAATTACGATATCACTCTTAAAAGAGAAAATATCCACATATGGCTTTTCTTAAAAAAGAAAAGTAGTTTTTTACTTTTTTTATTTATCAGACATTTTAAAATATTAATTCTCCAATGACAGAAAAAAAAAATTTAGAAAATACTCTGCTAGCCAGAGGTTCTCAGATGAGCCTCTGTACAAAAGCCTGAGAGAGTTGGCAGGTTTGTAAGAAGTGTACAAAGTTTGCCAATGTATTCTGCCTGTAATATTCCTTGTAGGGCACCCCATGTATATTCCTTGTAAAATTTTTGTTAAATGTGACATGAATTTCAAACATATTGTTAAATGGTCGAAACAAAATGCATAAGAACTGAAAATTTTAAGTATTTTACTGATAATATTTTTAGAAACCTTAGTCAATTAAACGATAAATAGTGAAAAAAAAAATCTAAAATATTTTTTGGTTAAATACTTAAGGAATAATTCTAGAGTATTAGATAATTTATGTGTTAGTTAATATTGCAACATGTGCTGTAAAATGGCAGCAATTTACAAACACAACCTTAACCTTGAATTTCATTCATCTATTTTAATTTTTCATCAATTTCACTCCTCAAAATTTGAAAAAGGGAAATCACTCTGGAAAAAGTCAACCCAACTTTAATTATGGGCTCAGAAAGTAGACTTATATACTAGAAAATACAGCAATAAAGATACATTCAATTTTTACCTTCAAGTGCAAATAAAATACTTGTAAGTCAACATATAAACTTTCTTTGAACCTAATAACTCAAAATGTACTGCTACACCAGAAAATACAACAATTAAGGTACATTAAATTTTTATGGATTCACCTAGTAGTAGAAATTCTCCAGCTTGGCAGCATATGAAAAAAAAAATATCTGTAAACAGAACAAGCCTTAAATATTACTAAGAGAAACAGAAAAGTCAATTTTAATTCCTAAACTTACTCACATTATTTCAGATTTCAAACAAAATTTGGCCAATTGGCTGATAAATTAACAAAAGAAGGTAACGACTCTCAAAACCTCTAAATTATGTTCTTTATTCAACTGAAATTAAAGAATGACAAGAAGAAAATTAATAAATTCACAATTTTTGAAAACTTCAGTTGCTTATTAATATTTATAACAGTTATAAGACTGTATAGGGCTGAGGTTCCCAAATGATGTTTCGAGGGAACCAGGGTCACCCTGGAAAACTCAGTGTTCACAGAGTTTAAATTTCTTATACCAGTAATGATTTTCGAATCTTGTTATTATTTTTATGTCCATACATTAAACCATCATCTATTTAGTATTTTGGTTATTTTTATGAAAATAATGTTAAGGAGTAGCAAATTTTTTTTCCAATAACAATATATTGAAAAAATTATGAAAATAAGCATTTATACAAAATTGCATTTTTATTTCTCATTGAACTTTTCAATTCAATACAAAATAATAAAATCCTAGAATAAAAAATTATGTTTCTTTGATAATCAATTACAACTTTCAAAAGTTCTTTTTTTTAAACCTATAATTCAGCATACTTAATTCATTTTCAGCTGATGAATTCTTAATCCTTTTTCAGCTCCAAAAACAAATTCAGAACTAGACAGATGCCATTCCAGACCTACCAATTCAACTGTTGGATATAAATTCCATGATTTTAAGTCTATTATTGACTGAATAAATTTCATTCTTCACATTAAATATAATCAAAACAATTTGTAGTTTTATTTATTTATTTTTAAATATACATATTTACAGAATACTAATTTTATTTACCAAATTGGGGTTTCGCCAAATGATGATCGATCATTTAGAGATCTGTAGATCTAAAAAATAGGGAAGTGCAGGTATAGGGATTTGCCCCATTATTTTAAATTTTCAATTATTCCAGTCATTTAAAATGCTTGAAATATTTTAATTAAAATAACATTTCTTGCTTTCCCCATGTTAAAATAAGCTTAAATCTCTGTCTGAGTGAGAAAAGACAAATTTTAATTTATGAAAATAGTGCTGCAAACTGTTTTTGTGAATTCTGCTACCAGGTGGGGCACATAACAATATTACTAAACATAAATAATTTTAGAAAAAGCAACACTTTTAGCACAAGGATATTGCTAATAGCAAATCTTATTTAGAAGGAACTGAATAATATAGGAATTTTCATAAACACTTATTCAGTTTTTATTCTAAGAAAAGTATTATTTCATTTTTACAAGCACAGTTTAATACAATTAATGTTGAAATCACTTTGTAAGAAATGGATTACTTAAAATTCAAAACAACTTTAGGGTGTTCTGAAATATATTTTTTATACTTTCTATTGTACAATTTCTTAACAATACATGTATTAAATGAATTAATATTTGTAGAGCAATTTTTCTTTTTTTATTTAGTTCAACCAATTTTATCACTTATTTTAAACAAGGCACTCTAAAATTGGGAGAAATTTCATAGATACAGTAAGCCACTCATGGTAACTACAATAGTGGTGCTTAAAACTGTCAGCCCAGTTACTAATGATTAAATTAACTATTTACCTTAATAAAAGCAATTAAAATTGTAAAAATTTTAATTTTAATACAAAAAAGAAATTATGCTAACAGACTGAAATTATTCTGACAAATGAGGATATAATAACATCTACATCAATTTATATTAAAAACCATAATTATTATATAAAACTATTCTGAATATTCCTGAATAAAAGCAAAAACTTTTTACAGTTGTAAAATCTTAGCGAACTTAAAAATAATAAAAAAATCTGTTGATTTCATTAAATATAAATAGCTAATTTACGATTGGATAATGTAATAAATATTTTATACGCCAGAAATTTTAAATGTCAACAAAATTTAAAAAATATATTTAGCTGAAAACTAAAATTAAATCAACTGCAATATTTTCCACCTATGAATCATGTTATATGAAATTGAATTTTATATATATATATACAAACTTTTTTTTAATACTTTTAAACTTGTAATTTTGTATAGAAACTAGTCTTTGTAATAGATATTTAATTTAGTTTGTGATAGTTAATTGTTGAATTATGAATTTAAAAAATAAAAATAAAAACAATTTAAAAACATTGGAAAAAAGAAATACATATCTTTAAAATTATTACTATAAACACAGCTTGCTTTAGTATTTAACAGTAATACCCAATATTCAAGTAAGCAATAAAGTAGAAAAAAATTATTTTGATTGTGACTTTATTTTTTTCAGAAACTTCTCAAATTTCAGGAAAATTGCTAAATCAGGAGAATTTTTGATCAAAGTGACAACATTCAGTATAGTTGGCGGCTATGTAAATTGTATTTAAATCAACTTCAACTGGGGGAAAATAAAATAAAAACTATATTTGATTTAGAAATTAAACAGCTAAAAGTTTCCTGGGTTAGTAAAACAAGAATTTATCATTCACATGAATAAATAACCAGTTAAACAACAAATTAATATTTAACTACAATAAATTTTATTTCATGCAGAAATGTATTATAGTGATTACTACTGCATAGTAAATTTATTTACAACTCCAGCCAGTTTAATTTTTTTTTAAAAAATCGGAGCTTTTGATTGAACTTGTTTAGCTACAGATGAAATTTTAAATAAAATTATACAGATTTAAAAAAAGATAAAAATTGCTTTGAAATAACAAAAAATATATATAAAAATATAAACTTAATACAAGACTAAGTTTAAGAAACATATGTATTAAGTAATAAATTTTATTATTGGTTAAAAATTTTCAGCGGTAACAAATATTTTAATTGAGCATCTATGGTGGACTTAATACCTGTCTGATACACTAACTGTGATGTAATATATTAAATGTCTGAAATATTCATTACTTTTATTTTCACTGAAAAAACAACAAGTTTAATTTTATGCTTAAGTCTTAAAAGAAGTTTGCAAGCAAATTTAGAACATTTTTTTTTAACAATTGTGAATAATCATTTATAATCAGCTAAAAAGTATAACATTTTAAGAATAGAAATATGTAGCCAATATGATTAAATTAACAAAGACAAGTAAAGAATAAAATTTTAAAAAATGTTAACGCAAACATTTTAGTCATCTTTTACAATAGTAAGTAAAAAAGAAAATACTTTTAAGAAATTTTCTGCTAATTTGAATTCTAAGTACATGATTAAGTCAAAAGTAGTTTTTAATACATAATAAAGGTCTCATAAATGCTATAAATGATTATAAAGCTTTTAAAATAAGTATTAAAAAAAACTTCTATTTGGTATACAAACAAAAAAATTTAAGAATTATTAATCATTTTAATTTTCAATACAATTATCAAAATTTTTAATTTTCTTCCACATTTAAAAAGTATTAGGGTCAATTATTAACTGTTCAGAATTCAATTCAGAACTCTTAACAAGAAGAAAAAAAAGAATATTGTCTACAGAATGAATAGGCATAGAAAAATATAAAGGTGTGAACATGAGGTATAAATGACAGACGGATTTGCAAAGACTACTAAAGTTTTTGCAAAACAAAAAAAACTGAATGATTTACATTTGGCTGATAATGCATTTGCTGAGTTTCAAGATTTCCAGGAGAAACTTAAAATCAACATTAGAAAGTGGCAAAAACAAAATTGAATATCAAAAAACTGATTTTGATGATAATAATCTTTACATTAACATTCAAGTATTTCTTAAATATTTTGATTTCTTTAAAAAAAAAAAAGTGATTCTGATGAAACTGGCACAAGCATTCAACAATTTCTGAAAATCAATTAGTCTTCAAAAAGAGTCAATGATATTAGAAGTAAAAAAAATTAAGTAAACATAACTACAGTAAAAATTCGAATCAGAACACAAATCATAATTACTTTATAAATATTAAAAAAACTATAATTAGTGCTAATAAAAAATTGGAGATTATTGCAGATTTAAATCACACATGCTGTGAATTCTTCATAGTTCATAAGCTAAATAAGAATAAATAAATTTAAAAAAATCTGATTATTTCATTATTTTAATTTCAAGTTTTGATAAAGATGAAATCATTCAATATCACTATGAATACTTTTAATATTTCATTTAAATTTAAAATTAGATTAGGCTTAACTAAATTTTAAATTAAACTATAGAAACTTTGAATTTATTACCAAAATGAGTAATAATAAAAATTATTTTTTGAAAGCTTAATTAATTTAAATAGTATTAAGAAAATCACTAAATATTTAACACAAACCACCATTTAAGGAGCAATGAAATTTAAAAATGTGCTTCTAGTTAAATTAGCATTTACAATAATAAAAAAAAAGCTATGTTATTGATAGTTGAATTCAAACTCAGTATGCCAAATTAACTACATGCATATATATACATATTAAGCAAATACTGTAAGTTAAGCAAATCTGAATTAATAGAATTGCTTTAAAATTTGAACTAATTTGTAAAATAAACTATAATAAAAACCTGGAGTTAACTAATGTAATAATTTTTTAAGATATAAATACTGTATTTAAAGCAATAATTAGCTTTTTTTTATTCAAGCTAAAAAAACAAATACAAAATTAAAACTAATGAAGAATTCACTCTGTGTGAAACAATGTGTTTAACAAATAAACAATGATAAACAATTATAATAACTTAATAATTTTGGCAAAATAAAAGAAATTATTATTATCATCATTACCTCATAAGTCTTAATTAAAACAAGTGTTCTATAAATTGATGAATATTGCTTGCATCTATCAATCTTTAATTATAATTTCTTGAGCACAATTTTAAACCAATTTCATCCTAGATATAGACGATAAACACATTATTTATACACAAATCTTTTAAAAAGGATTTAAAAATAATAAACAAATTTCATCCTAGATATGGATAAGAAACACATTCCTACAAAAATGTTAAAAAAGCATAAAAAATAATTAAAAAAATCTAACATAAAACAAATGCATGCAATAGTAATGCGGTTATATCTAATATTTACTAATTCGACCCATTAATACACATTAACATTTTGAGAAAGTCCTCATTCGTAATCATTAACTCGATAAGAAACAACAAAAAAATTTATACATATTTTTTAAAACAATCAAGAAAAATATAAATATTTTAAAACATTTCAATAAAACTCAATTTATCATGTTAACTTTAACAAATAAAATTACCTGCGTAGCTTTAGTAAGAGAAAAATATTTTTTTAAATAAAAGAAAAAGACCTGCCCAAGCCCTAAATTGATTGTAAACCACAAGAAATTAAAGATTTATTTTTCATATTGCATTGTTGATTAAATTCAATCTCTAGAAACCTTCACATAAAATAAAGATTAACTTATAATAACAAACTTGCATAAACGAGTAAGTATTAGTAAGCCAAAAAAAAATTCTTAACAGAAGCAAATATAATATTATAGATTGTTGATTAAAGTTTTACTACTAAAATTTTCAATTTCTTGAAATAAAATAGACACCTTACATTTTCCATTTATTATGAAGGGGAGGGGGGGGGAACTTGCGTTAAGGTGATAAGAACATACATTTAATAAATTATACATACAAAACATAACTATAGAAAACATTTTTTATAAAAAAATAAAAATTTTAAAGAATTGTTAGTGGCTGTTATTTGCAGATGAAAATTAATATTTACTTTGTAATAAAGTAAAAAAAGTTAATACCATTAAAAACAAAAAGAAACACTGCAAAGAATTTTTGGTAACTTTTTTAAGCAGACAACCTATTTTAAAGGGGAAATTAACTTTGGTTATAAATTGGCACAACCATTTTAATGTGTTTTTTTTTTCAATTAAAACTTCAATAAATATCACTGGAAACTTGCAGAACTCATCAGTATTTATTTCAAAATTAATCTCACTGCATTTTAGAACAAGACATAATTAGTTTTATAAATCATTAAACAACTCACACGCTTAAAATTTTTTTGTAATGTTTTGAGTCTAAATATTAGATTACACAGCTATGCATTTTTGCTGTAATATTAAATGCTGCGAAGTTTTGTGTGTTAAAATTTCGAAGTTTTGCGTTTCATGTAAAAAATCATACCTGACTAGTATGATAAGAAATTTTTTTGATTATTTTTTGGAATGACAAAGCATAATAATTCACTTACATATAAGTTCCTAAAATAATAATTTATTGCATGAAGTTAAATATTATTTGTAACTTTTAATTTCTTTACTACTAACTTTATTTTCTTCCAAAAATTTGATAAAATAATAAATTTTACAGTTATAACTCTCACATTACTAAAAGTTGATAAATAAAAATTTCTGAATATTAATCTTTTCAGCATAAACTTATCAGTAAATAGCAACAAACCAGTTATTTTATTGCAACATAACAATTTTAATTTAAGATTTTAATAATGAAAGAGTTTGACACATTTGAATATTTTAAAATTACAATCCTAAACTTATTAATATGATCATTCAATTTTATCATAAGAAATATTTTTTTTAACAATTTTAAAAACAAATTCTGTGCTGCTTAAAAATTATACATATTATTCCTTGCAAACTGTTGCAACTAATGCATTTCATTTTAACTAGATTATATTTTTAACAAGTTTAGAAATAGAGTTGCAAATCTTGTAGTACTCCACAGAGTTTTTATTCAAAATTAATATGATAATGGATTAGATTTCTTCATTTCAAAATTTAAAATCTCAAATGCTAATTTCGGGAACATATTTGTTTTATTAATAACCAAAAATTAAAATGGCACACAATATATACAAAATAGTTTAACACACTAAAATGAATACAATTTTTTTTTTCATGAAACATCAATTTAAATAATGATCGTAGTTAAAACTGAGTCAAATTTCAATTCCATATATATGTTTTCCTTTTTGAAATTACAAATATAGAAATAACTTTTTATAATAAATTTTTCTATCTTATACTGTTAAATTTTTTTACACGCTAACAGTAATTAATGGCAAAATACTGTACAAAATCAGTTTTAGCAATAAAGATTTTTTCCAAGTACAAAACAATGATTCCTAAGTCCAAATGATATATATATACACAAATGAGTTTTGAAATTCATCATCTAAGTGATATAGCAGAAGAGAGAATGTGTGAAAAAAAAATGAGTTTGCATATTTATAAGACAAGAGCTTTCCACAAGAGTTTTGGAAAACACGCTATTACCGCTTTCTTCTGCATGTGCGCTTGTGCTCCTTATGCCAATGAACCTGTTGACATTCAACACTGCAGTAAGATGTATTCCAACAACAATGATAGATAGCTTCAGCCTCACAATTGTAGCACTGGAAAAAAAAGAGGAGAAAAAAATACTTTAAATTTATTACAGTGTCACGTAATAGTTGGAAGCAAAACACAGATGCATGGGCAGTGGTCAGCAGTAACGAAACTATTGTCGCCAATACTTTTTTTTAATAGCTTGTAGCGTCGTGTGCTACTTTTTGAAAAAGCAAAAAAGTAAGTAGCGTGATACATAATAACATTTGTTAATGGCGATTCCTGGCAAACTACTTTTAACATTTATTTAGTAAAGAAACAAGGTTTAAACACAACTCTTAATTTTTCTAATCTGATTGGTACAAATCTTCATGTTGGTGAATGAGCACAATGAGAATACCCCTGCGGCCGAGCATTAATGAGAATGACCTATTAATTGTAATACTTAACCTAGCTATTACGAATAATGGCTAATTTATCACTTTCTTCAAATGTGAATGTACACTCATAGAAGCATGTTGATCTTATATCAATGGAAAGGAATATATATTCATTGTGATTTTCAATGCAATATTCTTCTTATAGGAATACTTACACATTACACATCTTATACTTTAGAAAATCACTATCATTTGATAATTTCTTTAATTGAAAGTTTTACTGTTTAGAAAGGCATAAGAAGTTGTAGGTCAAAAGAACATATGCGTAAAAAATGGTTTAGAATAACAAATTGGCACAGGTATGCATAAATAAATCTTAATTGAATATGGGCAAAATTTTTTTCCAGATTTAGAAATGTAGTCATTCCGAAAGTAGTTTGCAAACATTACATTTAAAAAAAAGTAGTTATTTCTCATATTTTATGTTATTAGTAGTTAAGAGTAGCATTTGTAATGAAGTAGTTGTGGTTAACTACAAAAATAATGTAGTTTTTGACAACACAGTGCATGGGTGCCACTCTAAAAAAATCTCAAGAATTAACTTAATTTTTGATTGAATTAACACTGTATAAGCTCTATTTACAAGAATTTACGAAAACTTGTAGCTGACTCCAAAATGTACCTTACTATAGCTCATATATAATATCAATAACTTGATTATATTTTCTAAAAAATTATATATAAATTTATTTTTCTTCAAATTTATAGCTTATTTTTTACAGTGAACATAGTAAAAGTAAAAAAGCTAATCTCTTATATCGTTTGACACAAATAGCTTCTTGAAACTATACATATGTATATTTTTCACTTCATCAGTAATGTTTAGACAGGGTGCATAGCCAAATCTTTGAATCAAAAATAAGCACTTTTTAAAAACTTTTCAAGCACTTCACAAAAATTTTCAAGCATTCAAAAAATTCATATTGAATCAATGATATTATTGAAAAACAAAAACTTTTTATGAACAGTTTTAGCATTAAAAAAAAACTCAAAAAGAAACAGACGTAAATCGAAACAATCAGTACTTTCCCACATCACCGAGTGAATTCAACTTGACTATGAACTCAGAACAAAAGTACCCTTACCCCCTACAACAAAAAAGTGCTAGAAGTAAAATAAAATAAACAAGAATAAAATTATAAATTAAAAAGAAAAACATTTAATAAGGATCTGACTCTATCCGAATTGGAGCACTCGGGTTTCAGTTTCGAGTGTACACGCATGCGCAAGTCATAACGTGGGTACGACATGAAGTCCGTGTGAATGATTACGTAGCAAACACCCCATTTTTCGTGAAATGCAGGGGATCCGCCAGATATCACTGAAGGGGGGAAAAAAATTCGTGAAAAAAAAGCACTTTTTAAAAACACCAGCTGAAAAAAGCACCTTTAAAAGCTTTTAAAAACGAAATCTCCCAAAAAGCACCTTTAAAAACTTTTTAAAAACGCTACGCACCCTGTTAGATCTAGCTCCATAAATTTAATTTTTTTGAAAATAATGCTATATCAATATAATATAACGTTTATTTACACTAACACAGATGTTTTTGTTCAGTTATTTTATTGTGACATGACATCAATACTTGTTCATTTCGCAATAATTTTGAAAAATAATGTTTTCATTAAAAAGCAATTTTTTATTTCAGAACATATTCCATACATTTTATAAGTAACAGAAACCTTAACAGAAAATATTCCTTATATTTTATAAGAAAAAACTAAAAATGTGTGAATTTGTTTGAAAAATTATTTTAAAAAATCAAATCTGAAAAAGGTATTAAATAGTATACAGAATTCAATCCACTGAATTTTTTCAAGAATGGTTTAAACTATCCGAACTGAAGAATAGCACCCATGCAGATTTTTAATTATAATTAAAAAATCTACAGAAATAACATAATTATAATATTTTACAAAATAAGATATGTCAGATAAAATTGTAAGGCGGATAAAAAGTAATTGGCATAAATAAGAAAAAATAACAGATGCAAAATTTTTCAAATGTCAAAATATATAACATAATAATTCCTATTAATACAATCTCTAAAAAAGGTAGAGCTTATTAGGTTACTGTTAAACTAAACAATCATATCAAAGTTTTGAAATAATTCAATCATGTGTACATTGCTGCCCTGAAAAAAAATATTCTCCAAAACAAATTGTCTACTGATACAATAAAAAGCAATGAATAATCTAACTAACCCACTGTTTCTTCTTAGCCTCAGATAACTCTTTGTTGTGACACTCAACCATTTTACACATTTCTTCAGCATGGGTCAATTTTAACTGCTCAATGACTTTAATTTGTGCTTCTTTCTGTTCCTGTTGGAATTTCTCCAAAGTCACAGATAATGTTTTCTGTTTTTCACTTTCCATCTCTCGGTGGATCTACAACAAAAATTCCATTAACAATTTATTCACCAAATTATGTAGGCTCTGTTAAACACAAATGATTAAGATATTGATAATTCATTCAGAGGATTCTTCAATGGCACAACAACCCAGGTGGGCTCTAGGTTTCTCAAAAATTTTCTTTCAAACCACTGAAAATATTACACCACAAAAAAATCTGAAAATAGCTTAAATCAATATGTATATTTACATTTAAACTGCTATATTATTAAAACTTTTAAAGAATTAATTTATTTCACTTTTTTTTAAAATATTATTAAGAAAAAAAATAAAAGTTTTCTTTGAAACAAAGCAAGAGTGCAGAGTTTTAAAAAAAATCAAGTCTTTTTATCATATAAAAAATAAAGCAAACAAATATCAATTAAAAACTAATTAAAAATTTTCTTTGTCTAGAGACTACAGATTTATAAACTTTTTAAATTTACAAACTCAATATGCTTATTCAGTAATCAACCAATACACTGATATGCTGTTAGATATGTCAATTCATCTCTTTTTTCTCCCTTTATTATTCAATCACTATATTTAGAATCATTGTTAGAACCCCAGTGGCAGAACTGTGGCGACAGGGCCACATTGTCGCAGAACGATATGGAGTTTTTGCAAAACGATTTTTCTTTTGAGAAATAAAAATTTTCAGTTTTCTTTTTTGCAGAAATTTTGGAAAAATTTTATCTTTTTTTTCAAAACTATATTCGAAAGATGCCTTTCTCGTGCATCTGAGTGGGGAAAAAATGCTTGTGATTTTTCTAAATATTAGTTAATATTTAGAATATAGAATAAAAATATTTCTTATATTGAACAATAAATTTTACTTTGAAAAAACATAGTTTTTTAAAATTTGTCATAATGATTTTCAAAATTTAATGTAGCAGTATAATTTAATATACTAAAATATCAAAATTTAAAAAATATATATTATTTTTTAAATGTCAGGCTTGAAAATGCGATTTCACTAAAACTTTTATGAAACTAGAGTATTAAATCAATAGGTTTAACACAAGAAAATAACTCAATTTTAAAACTACAATAACTGAAACGGAATTAATGGGGGGGGGGGGACTTACTTTGTCNGGGGGGGGGGAGACTTACTTTGTCAGACAACTCCTTCAAAGATTTGCTCTTTTCTTCTTTATGTTCGGTTTCTAATCTTGTTTGCAGATCTTTCAAACGTTTGTCATATTTTTCAGTACAATTGCAAGAATTTGCTGCCTTTTCATTGAATTCATTATTATTTTTTTCTGTTTCTCTTGGCAACAAGAACTAAATACAAATAAAATATTAATTATTTAATACATCTTATAAAAAAAATAAGATTATTTTCTACAAACTATAAATTTGACACAAAACAAGAGAAATTAATAAGCAATTATTTTTAAAAAAATTTAGAAATGTTTGGTATTAGTCAGGATAGCTAGATTTTCAGTTTTCCCAGCATACTAAGGAATAGATATTAATAATCACTAACAGAATTTTTTATGTATATACATACTAGATAACTTTCACAATGAAAAATAAAATATTACAAATTATACTTTTGATGGTAAATTATCCAAACATAAATTATTCATAATCCCTAAATTTATCTCCTTACAGATAAAAGAAAATGATCAATACAAGCATGATCAAGCAAGCAGACCATTACTTTTAAACAATCTAAAAAGATAAAAGATAACATGAACAATTCATCAATCAAATTAGACAGGAGACTTAGGTGACTTCATAAAATACTAAACAGTAGCTGGAAAGAATAAACAAACAAGAATAAACAAGAATAGCAAAAGAAGAAGGCACTGATAACAGCACCCAGAAAATTCTTCAGAATTCCTGAATCTTGCAGGAATGGAGAAATATCAAAACATTATCTATTATAAAAAATACATAAATATATCTGCCACCTTTTTAGAGTAGGGTTTTATCTTTTCTTAAATTTCAGTGGAACTAAATATTATTTTGACATTAATTGGCTAAAAAGGAAAGAAAATGAAGGTTTTAAATAAACAGAAATCCATAATCCGAAAGCATCAAATGTAAAAGCAGTTGAAAAGTGTTTTTAAGAAAAGTGTGTTAAGCTGTACTTTATTTCACACTTAACCAAAAGGAAATTCAATTTTGCAATTCTCATGACTTGTTTATTACAATATTCATAAAATGAATTAATAAAAAGGGAAATGAAATAAGATAACTTCATGGCTTATAGATATACCTCTTTAGGAGTTTGCACTGCTACTGTCACTTGAAATACTGATGTATCTTGTGAGGATGAAACTAAGTCATGGTCTTCAGATAATGAAGCATTCTGAAAAAGAAAATATTATATTAGGATAGGATTCAATTTAATGGCACAAGCAATGCTACAAAAACTAAAGGTAAAAAAAAATTTTAAAAAAATACAACTAAAAAACTTATAGTAATATCTACGTACAGTGAGCAAAATAAAAAACAGACCACCTAAAATAACTTTTGATCTAATGATAAAAATGCACCAAACGGTGGTTGTCAAGAAAAATGTCACTGAACATCAGGTGCACACAGATAAAAAATCAATCCCTAAGTTGAATTAATAAATGTAATTCATTATAAGTGGCATAAAAGTGGATTATCCTTAACATTTATATAATTTCCTAAGATTCACAATCATAAATTTTGAACTTCAGAGACAACAAAGAGGGAATTAGAGATTTTATTCCTAGAGAGACCCCCAAAACTGATTTTTTTTTTCTCTTTTTGGCCAATTTCTATTGATTTTGTAACCATATACTTGCGTAACAGAGATGCTAACTTTCCCAACTTTGTGGGAAAACTTTTTCAAGTGGTAACAAAATGTTTCATTCCTTAATTTTTGGTTTAATAAATTTGACTGCCGACCTAAAACATATAAGAAATTAAACACATACATATAACTTTGCTTCAGTTATCCCATAGTGAGGTTATTAGATAGTCTCAGCATCAATTAAAATATGAAAAAATTTAATAATTCTGTATTAATTCAAAAAAAAAAATTTTAAAAATTGGAGCAGTTGGCATCCCTGGTTTCAGAGCTTTACACTTTGCAGGGAAAGGAAAAAAAAACTTGATTTTATCAGACATTTGGTATAGCAAACCAAATTGAGCATGGCTACAACCAAACTGAATTAAGATTAAATATTCTAAATGCCTACTTTAGATACAAACATTAAAAAAATAATAAGTTAAAAAAGACAGTAATTTGGGGAATATTGCATTCATATAAATTTAAAACATACCTCTGATTTAGAAATTTTAGGAGATGAGGAGGTCGGAGATTCTTGATAAAATTTCTTATTTTTCTTTACAGGAACTGTAGCTGCCTTTTTAGCACTAGGTGGTTTGGTTAAAGGAGTAGATGCACATTTTCTTTTACGTAACGGAGTGGCCTTTAATTTAGAGGAACTATCATCAGTCACTTCATTAACAGTTTCATTCTTTGTATCAATTGCGTTCGTTTGATCAGAGTTCGATTTGACACCAGATGATCGCTTTCTAGAAGCTGCTTCAACCAATTTTTGATGATGACATAGTTCTTTATAAGCTCGGTCAAATGAAGGAGTATATTTAATGCCCAGCTTCTTATAAGGTGTTGACACTGGTTTCACATGATCTTGATGAATTAAAGCCCTGAATTTAAAAAATTTAAAAAACAAATCAAAGAAAAGAACCAGAAAATTTTTCATGAATTCTTATTGCTCCTGAAATTTAATGCTAATGTTTAAAGGATTTAAATCAAATGGTAGAAATTAAATCAAATAATAGAATTAGAATATTTTTAAATACACTTAATGCTGAGAAAATTTTATGTTAACATTTAAAGGATGGCCACTTAAATTTTCAATCAAATAATGAGAATAAATTAGGAACCAAGTCAGAGAAGAGAATTGGAATGTTTACACATATACTTAATGCTGTTAAAATTGGATGTAAACATTTGAAGGATGACCACATAAATTTTAATTTAAATATGAAGGAATTGAAAACTACAAATGCAGGATATGACTGAAAATAATATTAACATTTAAAGGATGACAGCATAAATTTACATTAATAGGCATGAATTAGAAATCAAGTCGGAAAAAAAAGAATTAGACAATTTTTGCAAATAATTAATGATGCTGAAATTTTTATAATACATAAAAAAAATAGAGAGTAGAACTGCAAACACATAATGTTAACTGTTAACAGAAGTAAAAATGTTCATATCAACTTATATTTTTTAATTTTTACTTCCTAAGCATTTTTACTAATATCAACATTTTAACTTGCATTTTGATTATGCTGCATTAATGTTTTCTTTTAACATACATTGAATTAAATCTTCCATAAACACATCACACTTGAAGACAAAGGAGAAAAAAAACGGTTTATGTCCATGAAAACCGATTCTGATGGGGGAAAAAAAGTATTTAAAGATTTGAGATTGTTCAGGAGCTAACATAAAATTGAAATAGTATCACAAGCATTTATTTATATCCTTCAAAAATTTAAAATCAAACAGTTTTAAATATTAAGAAAAAATAAAATTCTAAAATCTGGTTAGACTAGAGCTGTTTTTTTCCTTTTTTTTCAAAATTCCTCTCCTATTAATACTTCAGTAAAGCTCCTGTCCGAAAACCAATTTTCTATATCAGTGAATCTATTCGAAAAAGGCAGCCCGCCCTGCATATACTTTGATCTTTCTAAATGAGTACTCTTTGCCCCCTTTTGGAAAAATAAACTGTCATTCCTTAAAAACACCGCCTTTTTAGTCATATTCCAGTTTTTAAGAAAAATTAATTACTGTTTAAATAATACACACGAAAATTATCTGTGTTTATAGGCTCAATTGAATTCTGATCATAATTATAAATATTTATATGTAAGAATTATTCTCGACTGGTTAAATTTTGAAAAGTTTCTCTTTTTTTCAAGGAGGTATATAAGTAAATATTTTAAGTGATTTTAAAATATTTTTTAAACAAATATCTTTTGTTTTGAAAAAAAAATCCACCTTTACATGTTTTTTTCTAATAAATTATAGAAAAAATCTTTTAAGCTGTTTATCAAAAAATAAAAAAACAAATTGTTTAGTTTATATTAAAAAATAAAAAAAAATTATGCACAGAGATAGCCTCTTTAAATGCCTTTAATTATTATTTATAAACTAAAAAATGTTTCTTTTATTTAGATAATGAGTGAAAATTACGTTTTGAAATATACACATAAAATACTATTTTACATATTTTATACTATTTAATAGCATAAGATGGTAAATTAAAAATTGCTGAGGATCAAATTCAGTTATTATATGATATTACACATTTTGATAAATTTTTACAGTATTAAGTATCCTTTCAAAACTCAAAGTGCCCTTTTCTGTAACGAAGCACCCTGCCCTACTTTATTCCTAGCAAAAACTCTGCCATATTACTGATTTCTCAAAATTTAGTGATCACCAAAAGGTAATTGATGGTGATCTAATTGTCATTTTTGTGAAAAAATGGGCATGAAAACTGTTCTTCTCCCTTGTTAAAGATACAAGGCATGTAATAAGTAAATTAATGTCTAAAAATTTCTGTTTTTTATTTTTTTCAGCAGAAAAAAATGTCAGTGCATTAAAGCAATAATTCTTTTAAGAAAATAACTAAATAAATAGTTAAAAGCAAGAATATACATTTGAAAAATAAGTAAAAGATATCACTTTACTATTTTGTTACATAATTTTTGAAGTTCATTAAAACATTAGTTAAAGTAATTACAGGAATTCTATCTAAGGTGTTAAAAGTTACCCTACAGAGTAATGATAATCAGGCAGTGAAGTGTTTCCATGGAAACAGGAAGTCATAGACACGAGCCTACATATTCTTTTCGACAAAAAGCATATAAGATGGAATTGCAAACTCGCAGCTGTAACTTGTTTATATTAAGTGAGAATATCTGAGATTGAATCAACAGACACATCATGTTTTATCTGTTTTTCACTTGTGTTTCTAATTATCTATAAATAAATCTTTATATTTATTCATCAGTCTTGTTTATTAAACCATTAGTGTATACTATTTAATCTTATTTAATAGCCATAAAAAATCATTTAAATAGAATGTAACAATATTATTAAAAACTTAAAAGTACATTACCTTTGCAAAACCATACCAAACATGTATGCAACTTAGAAACTCATTTTACAAATTATTGATGTAAAATCTTTCTACTAAATTACAATTTTACGTACTTCTATTAGTGTTCACATTTTTCTGATTGTTAAAAGATACATTTAAATGTAATAATACTAATATCAATTGGACAGAATATAGTGTCAATAATATAGAAAAGCATGAACCAAATTAAAAAGAAAAAAAAAAACACTATAATCTTAGAATTAGGAAGAATTACCAGGATACCTAATGGAGTAGTCTTTATTTCTTGGACATAATTAATATACAAGTCAATCAATTCTAACTTTTAAACATTTTGTATGCTTGTATTATAAGTTTTAAAAAAAACTAACTAAATAAAATTATAAAATCTGTTTTAGAAAAAATGCAGTGCAAAAACTTCAAAAACCATTTCAACAACCAAAGATTTTGTAAACAAATGTTACTATACCTTTGGTGAAATGCACCAAAAAAGCGAACATCATAATAATTGTCCTCTTTCTTTATAACTTTGGCAGGCCAATAAGGAAAGCCTTTTACTTTAGCATAAACTAATTCATGAGGAGGATCCTGTGGAAATAACAAAGTAAAACCTATGAATTCAAAAATTTACTATAATAAAAAATAAACATAAATACATAAAAATAATATAAATGCGAGATATTTTTCATCATAATCTAAATCATTATTTGCCATTATCTTTGAATTCAATTTTTTACTATTTATAAAAAATTAAAAATACTTAGAATTCTTTTTTTTAAGGTAATTTTATATACTTGCTTTATTATTCTTCACTTTCTTATGCTTCTCTAAAAATGTGCTGACAACTCAATATTATTATTACACCTATAAAATGCTTATGGATATACTATAACATTAAATTAAATTTAAGAAACAAATTGAAAATTTATTTAATATAAAATATTCGTTCTGATTCAGTAGTATATACTTTGTAATAGACAGTGAGGCAGACAGTCAATTAAATAGTTTACAGGCACAAATTTTATCAATATAATGAAAATGTGGCAACTGATATGTTATGTAAAGTAACTGCAAATATGTAACAATTTATTTAAATTGACAAATCTAAAACAGAATTTATTTAGTAAATGTTTAATTAAATAAAAAATTTTACATGAGAAAATTATATGTATACAGTGGAACCTTGATTGATCCCTTCTAGTGGGACCATTCATTAGAAGGATAAATATGGAAAAACAGCAAATGCTGATGAACACAAAAACATAAAATAATGACTTGAATATTTATAAAAAACAAAAGAATTAAGTATTAAAAATTTTAATTCAAAATTTTAAAAAAAATAAATATTAAATAGTTATGTACCTCTGTATTCACAAGAACTTAATTATGTATTAAATAATTATGTTCGTGTGAATACAGAAAGTTCCTTGTTGTTTCAAAAGCTTTGAAACCTTCCAGAAATGTTCACATTTGCTATTGGCTATGGTTAGTTTGGCAGTCTTCATTCACATCTTCAACTTCTGCAACCATTTCTGGAATCAACAACTTCACAAGTTTTAAAGTTTTCATCAACTCATGCATAAACATGAAATGTGATGTTTGAGGCATTTTCTGCAAACAGTAACAAATCCTCATTTTCTTCATAATCACTAGCATCAAAAGTTGCTATTTGGCTTCAGAAAACAAAATAACTACACTATTTTTTAAATGTTATTAGAGGACAGACGCAGTAATTGGCTTATTTCAAAAATGACCTAAACTGGTATCATTAACATTATGTAAAGAGCATTTGCAATTTTCTCCATTAAATTTCAGAGAACCATTCAAACAACATGATACATACAGGAAAACAAAAGATGCAGGAACAATGTATCAAGGTACAACAGTACTTCAACTATAACACTATTCTCTTTTATCAAGAAAAGTTTCTCTATTTACAAATACTTTTTTTTAATATGTACCTCCTTTTTATGATTAATGGGAGCTATAAACTAGCAAACATCACTAATGTTGTCTTAATTATATTTGGAAAAAAAAATAGAATAGTCTAGTTTACTTTATAATGATAATTAACAGGGGTCTGCCCAGGCTGAATTTACTACCGTTTAGCGGTACCATCACAAATTCAATTTTTGATAAAACGGTAGTCTCACAAATTCAACTTTAGGAAAAACGGTAGTTTCACAAAATACTTTTTCTTAAAATTTTATTTTGTATCCCTTAAGAAACGGTAAATCTATATTTTTACCATGTTTTCATATTGATTTTTTAATATAATTTTTACTTAATTTTTCACAAATTATGTCTAAATTTTCACAAAATAGGTACCTTTCAGAAAAACCTAGACAGATCCCTGATTAATGAAGAATATAAAAAAATTCCATTTTTTAAAAGTCTCTTCAGAATGATTGTATTGAAATTTTTGAATAAATTTTAGGATTGAGGACTGAAATTGCTTATTCATCATTAAATTTCAAGGCATTAGCATAAACCGTTCTGGAGTTATAGACTGACACAAAAACTCTTCACTTTATTATTATAGATATGAAGTCCATACATTTTTTAGGAATTCAAGAAATAGTACAAAAAATAGTGACAACCCCAAGGGAATTGAGTTGTCATTAATGCCATGCTGTTTCTCATCGTGAAGTTCTATTTTACTTCAAATCAGTTTCAAAATGTCTTTAAAAAAATTGTTCTGATTAATCTAATAAAATTTGCAAGTAAATATAGTAATGTCATATCATAATTTTTAATAATTAAATGAAAACTAAAGTTAAATCAATGATTTTTACTAAGCAAATTTATAGAATAAAATAACATGTCTGATAAATTGGAATACAATAATTAAGAAAGCAAAGAGTAAAGGTAGATTAATAACAACAAGCACATGGGGAGACAGAAATTAAAAAAAAGATACTCACACAAGGTGAACAGAACCACGAGTCAACTTTTGTATTAGACATTTTGTAACAATGTGAGCACTGAATGATTTCCAATAAGTCATATTCACAATCGCCTAACATTTGACGAGCCATTTCAGCAATGCGGCTGCTCACTAAGAAAAATATTTCTAATTATTACAAAATTAAAAATCTTTACTTTAGAATTAGAAAAAAAGTTATTTATAAAAAAAACACTCCACAAAATAGCATAAAAGCACACTTTTTCTTAAAAATTCAAAATAAAAGTATAATACTTAGTTATACCAAGGAAATTTTTCATATATGTTTAACTATATGTGATAATTTAAGATTATGAAATTGGAAATAATAGCATTAAAGTAAATTATGAGGATACAAATGAAATGAAACATAACTATTAATATTAGAAATACAAGGAACAAAAATTATTATAAAAATATATAAGGAGATATAAATAAGAGAAGAATTTAATTTCTTCAGTTAAACAGCAATTGATAAATGAATGGAGGAAGAAAAAAAACACATTAAAACTTGTTAAGAAAAACCTCCATTATCTGAAGATGTGTGAGATGTGTACTTCATGATAAAGTTAATATTTTCCAAGAAATAGAAAATAAACACTCCTTGTACTTCAAGACAACACTGCTTTTAAACTTTTTGTTAGTTTTTTACTTTGATTGAGCTAAAAAAGTCTGAATGTTGTAAGTTTTGTAGCTTCTTGAGCTCTTTGTTTTTTCAATCTTATTAGTGCTATTTAATTTGATCATCAACAACATTAACTTGATAAACTCAGCGTAAATCTCTAATTAGGTGCTGCATACACAATTGATTTATATAAAAACAGAATGAAAGAGCAGCATGATTTGGGGTAATAGAGTAAGTGAATGCTAAAATAAATTTTAAAATATCTTTACATATTTGAAAAACACATTAACTAAAAGGTCATATCAAAACAAAATAATATGTAGCCCCTTAAAAAAACCTTGATTTTCAGTCTTAATTGATGAAAGTAGGTTAATAAACAATGTTATCCCATAATCCACATATTTTGAAAACCCTAAATAGGTAACAATTATTTAAAACAATCTAGGTTTTACTGACAATAACCTTATGTACCTAGTGTAATTTTAAAAATCTTAGTTAAAATTACAGCTTTTTGGAATTAAAATTACAAATGTAAATATTACAGCTCATTTCCTTTTACTTTATTTATGCAATTCGGTCCCCAATTTATATAGAATGATAAATTTAGCCCTAGTGAAGAATAGATTAGAGTGACATATCAAAAAAATTAGTGAAAAATCAAGATGCTCAATTAGCCAACATTAGTTACAAAACATATGCACAAAATTTCACACAAATGTAACAATATAATTACTAAGTAACTTTAAAGTGCAACTTTATTATAAATGGTAATTTAAAAAATATATTTTACCTCCAAAATATACAACAACATTGTGAACGATTTGTTGGGTGTCGGAGAAGAAATCTGCCAGCCTTGAATACTCATTGGATTTCATTTTATCTTCTATAGCAGTTAAGTCCATACTTTGGTAAATTAAGAAGTTAAAACGCCACTTTTCATCATCAGGATGAGGGATTCTATGAAGTTCTCTTGTCTGAGAAATAAAAATACTAATTAGTTATAACTACTTACGTCTCTACCAACAAAACATAGTTATAGGAAGAAACACCTATACAATACATATTTGCCTCCGACATAGGCATAAAAGTTATCAAATAAAATCAAAAGTTTTAGATTAACTTACTCCGTATTTTCAACTAAAATGCTATTGAAAAATAAAATCGAAAATCATCATTTCGTAGTTGCCAACATGAAAAGGAAAAACTCCTATAGATTTTACAAAATGATGTAAATTTCATGTTAACATTAATGTAATATTTAAAGTATTTTAGAGCAGGGAAATTCAGATTTTTTTTCATTGTCATTAGCATATAAAAAATGTATTACAATGATAACGATAAATTTAATTTGAAAATTAAATGTTTATTTATGTTCATTACATGCTTGAATGCATAATAAATAACAGGTATTTTATTTTAGATAATTATGAAAAAAAAACAGGAAATTTTTTTATTAATCCAGGAGAAACATGGAAAACAAAGTATACAGGAAAATCAAGCAAAATTAGCAGATATGTTATTTAATATCACAATAATTTCTACAATAAGAAATGTAATTTTTCAAATACTTTTATACTTATACATATTCCTTATACTCGAGAATTTTACAAAAGAAACTCTATATCATACTATAAAAATTTTAAAATAAAAGGAAAACTTAAGATAATAAACTTATAAAATAGTGGAAAATCCCGGATACGACGAAAATTTAATACCTGAAAATAAGTTAAAAATGAAAAACTAATACTTATTAAGAACACTATAATGAATACAATTTGGATTGTATGGGATTTAATATAATAGTTACCTTTTCTTTCAGCCTGACACAAGTAAATCCAAGTAAGGTATTTAATTCACTTTTCTTGACATTTAATGAAAATTTCTCAACACTCTAGAAATAAGATGATAAATTTCATTGTGAAAGTAAATTTAATTTTATAAAAGTTTTTCAAAGTAAAATTATTTAACTACTAACCTTACATACAGGACATATCAATTTTGTTGTTTTAAAATCATTAGGTAGACATTCCTCGTGGAAAACTCGAAAACAAGTAGTACACAAGATTACTTCTCCGCCTAGATGACATTCAAAGCAGTACCAGTCATGGCCATCTTTTTCCTATTCAAAATGTAGATAATCTTTTAAAAATGATGACTATACCTATTTGAATTTTGCTAATAATCATAGTAAACATCAAAATTTTAAGTCGTAAAACCAATCACACTAATAAATAAACAATTAATTGATGATTCTGCACAAACATGAATGGAAATAATCCTCAAAATAGTAAGTGTGCAATATTGTGACGTTCAAAGTCCATGCAGAAGAAAAAAGATTTAAACACTAACTATTTATAATTAATATAATTATAACTTCTTCGCAAAATAATTTACATCCTAGTAGGAAAAAAAACTTTATTATTTACTTTTTTACATAAATATTCTTAGTTCTGTTACCATAGTAGGTCTTACAAAATTAATAGCTAATACAGAATATGTAATATACCATTTTTTTCCCCTTCAAACAAACAAAAAGTAATGTCAAACTATTCCCACCCAAAGCTCAAAAATTAACCTGCCCGGGCATGTAAAAATTCTAATGTGGTAAGCACTTCTTAAACTTCTTTTAATCAGATACTTTTTATTTTTACATTTTTATGATTTCAGCTCTATGTTAATATTGGCACTAACACATTTTTTGGTTTTTGTCAACACTATCTAAAAATGGCTGTACATCATAGAAGAGCTGAAATAAGAACGAAAATTTTCAAGCTATAAATTGAAAGCCGCGGAGGCTCAAGGGATAGAGTGCTCCTCTGCCAATGAGGTGACCTGGGTTCGAATCCCTGCGTTAGCATATCAATACGAATTCCACACCTGGCTCGCAGTGAGGACCGTGAGGACGTAAAATATCATGAGTGGTAGACGGATCATGAATTAGTGTCCTTTTGCCATCAGGCGAAATGTGGGAGGTCTTCAATGTTTTTCTTTTCGTTTAATGCAAGTGCGGGGCGTTAAATCAAAAAGTCCTCCAAAGACAAATTTCTCCCAAAACTTGATCCAGGAGTTCTGTTGTCTTATGGACTGGGTTCAAAATTACAAACGATGATCATTGGTAGTCAAACTCAAAATTGGGTCGGATGTTCAAGAAGGGTTATAATAAAAAACAAATTATCACAACTTACACTTATTTCTTCAGGAATACGATATCCATCTTGTTCAAGGCCGACTTTGGAGCCTTTACAGCCAATACTTCTTTTAATATTAATTAGTCCATCTTCAACAGCAAAATTAAGCTGTTGTTCCACATCACTTGGATTTACACTATAAACTCTTTTCATATAATTTGCTAATCGATCAAGATTAGCAATTTGTTTCTGTTGTTNATTGATGATTCTACACAAACATGAATAGAAATAATCCTCAATAGTAAGAGTGCAATGTTGTGACATTCATCACAAATCAAAGTCCTTGCAGGGAAGAAAAAAATTAAACATTAACTATTTATGATTAATGTAATTATAATTTCTTCGCAAAATAATTTACATCCTAGTAGAAAAAAAAAAGCAAACTTTTTTTTACATAAATATTCTTAGTTTTGTTACCATAGTAGGTCTTATAAAATTAATAGCTAAGACAGAGTATGAAATATTAATAATATACCTAGATTTCTTTTTCTTTCAAACAAACAAAAAGTAATCTTAATTCTGAGATTTTTTCAAACTATTCTCACCTACAGCTCAATAATTAATGTAAATCATGTAAAAATTCTAATCTGATAAACATTTCTTAAACATCTTTTAATCATGTACTTTTCACTTTTACATTATGATTTCCGCTTTATGTTAATTTGGCACTAACACATTTTTTGATTTTTGTCAAACAAATGGTTGTACATCATACAGACGCTGAAATAAGAAGGAAAATTTTCAAGCTACAAATTGCCGCAATGGCTCATGGGATAGAGCGTTCTCCTTCCAATGAGGAGAACCAGGTTCGAATCTCAGGTGACATGAATTCCGCATCGACCACAGTGCTGACATAAAATATCCTCAGTGGTAGACGGATCACGGGTTAGAGACCCCTTGCCATCAGGCTAACTGTGGTCTTCCTCTCCTAGTAACGCAAATGAGGGTTCGCATCATCAAAACGTCCTCCACGAAGGCAAATTTCTCCCAATACTCGATCCAGGAGTTCCCTTGTCTTCTGGATTGGTCTGGTAACACTAGTAGTCGTAAAACCATAAAAATTAGGTTGGCTGTTTAACGACGGTTATATAAAACGGTCTTTTTCACAGTGAGGACAGTGCTGACGTAAAATATCCTCAATGATAGACGGATTATAAATTAGAGTCCTTTTGCTATCAGGCGAGTTGTGGGATGTTTTCAATGTTTTTCTTTTCGTTTAATACAAGTGTGGGAAGTTAAATCAAAAAGTCCTCCATGAAGACAAATTTCTCCCAAAGCTTGATCCAGGAGTTCTGTTGTCTTATGCACTGGGTTCAAAATTACAAAAGATGATCATTGGAAGCCATAAACTCAAAATTGAGTCGGCTGTTCAACAATGGTTATAATAAAAAACAATCAATTATCAAAACTTACATTTATTTCTTCAGGAATACGATATCCATCTTGTTCAAGGCCGACTTTGGAGCCTTTACAGCCAATACTTCTTTTAATATTAATTAGTCCATCTTCAACAGCAAAATTAAGCTGTTGTTCCACATCACTTGGATTTACACTATAAACTCTTTTCATATAATTTGCTAATCGATCAAGATTAGCAATTTGTTTCTGTTGTTTGATATAAGCAATTGCATCCCACAAATGTAGAACAGTCTGCGTGCAAGCTTGTCTTCTTTTCACAGCCATTGATTTAGGAGTCTCATTTAATTCAGAATCTATAAATTAAAAAAAATGTGAAACTATTTCAATAAAATTGTTACAATATATTTATACATATGTTAATTTTTAAAATTAAACAAAAAAAATTTGCTATACTAATTACCTTATATGGGGGAGGAAAGTATTATTATGTAATGACGAGATAACTAAAAATCATTATTACAAAATAAAATTTTTAAATATTTTAAATTCAGTCTTGCTTTTTTTTTTTTTACAACTATGCACTTAACTTATAACAGAAAAAAAAATCAAGCTTAAAAGAAAGAAGAAAAAAAAGAAGAAAAAAACAAAAGTCTAACAATTCTGAGAAAAAAATTTGTAGCTGGCATCAACATTTTTGTAAAATTTAACATAAAAGAGAAAATAAATTAAGCTACTTTTAATTTCACAACATGGTTCCACCTAAAAATTAAGCCTGGCTTATAGAACCCAGTAAAAAAATATTGGCAGAGCATGGTTACTTTATTTAGGGGGCAGAAATAAAGTGCTCCAGTAAAATAGATGTTGATATACTTGATGGGTTACAAAGTAGAAGTTTCAGAAACATATTTAGGTTAATATGACTTAATAAAATGAAAAATAAATGCTTAATGAATAGAACTAAGTGCCTACTATTAGGAAGGAGATACAGTAGAGTGTCGATTTACGGGATTGTCCAATTCTCCAGATCATTGAAGAACCATGTGTTTTCCCATCTTATCTAAAAAAAATTGTTTTCTTTTTTTACAAAAATGCTTCTTTATTTTCAGAATATCTTAAAGGGGTCCAAAATGGCTTCATTTGTCCTTTAGTGTCCTTGAAAAAAAACTTCATATTCGATCTAAATAGTTTCAATGTAGGTGATAATTAGCTTCAATGTAGGTAGTTTAGGTAGTTAAAATATTATCATCTTACATCTCGAAAGTTGTACAATTCATTCAACAAGATCCACCTTTCCACAAAATCAGAAAAAATTTACATAGTTTAAAAAAAAAATAATTAGGCAACATAAGAACATTTATTTTTTGTTTTCAGACGCAACTAATTTTCTTTTGTTTTGAAAACAAAAGTAATTAAGACAAGTAAATGAATTTTTAACAATGATTTTATTTAGTTTAAGAGGAAAATAAATTGATATCTTTGAAAAAAAATTATTAGAAAATAAGACGAGAAGTATAAAAAAATATATTATTCAAATTTTACATACCAGATACTATGAATTCATAATAAATATGAGAAAAGATTATGGCAATGTTCTAAGTCATTCTAGAAACCCCCTCCCCCCATTTTGAAAAAAATCCGACATCCTCCTTCATTTGTAAAAATAATGCTCTTTGTAGTATATTTTTTCATTCATAAAAAGAAATAACATCCTTTTCCAATAGTACAAACTAGAAGCTTCTGATTGCTAAGACTAATGCAAACTAATCTTATGGTAAGTTAATATTGTTATATTTATCTCAATAACAATTTAACTATACTTTAAATTTATATTCTTTTTAAGATTAGCTTGATATGCATACATATGCAAATATAATAAGTGGTATACATAATCACTAACCTTCAAAGTTCAAGTTGAACAAGCTCCGTGTCCCTTTTTCATACATAGTACAATTATTTATACAAGGTATAATACATAAATTAGAATCAAATGTGTAGAACAAAACAACATAATGTCCTTTATTAATTTTTTTATAAAACTTAGGAAAAAAGAAATTCCTGTGTGAAACAATGAAAAAAAAATTAACTAATGAAGAAAAGTAGGAAAAGGAAAAACTCAGAGAGAATTTTAGTATTCAAATGATTGTTAGAATAAAAAGCAATTTTAAGAAAGAATTTGTGCAACATGCAATAAAACAAAAACTGTATAGTTAAGAGCAAAAAGAAAAAAAGACATGCAGCTCAGTTCTTAATTTACTTAGTAAGTTTTGTGCAATGCGTTGCTTTCAATAAATCAAAGCACAAAAAAGCTAATATCTATGCAGCTACTCACTGATAGATTGTTTTTTGACACGTGTTCCAGATAGAATCTGTATAGCTTCATTATAAAGCCTTTGAGTAGTGCCTCTTGGCCTCATGGAGTTAAATGCTAAAATAGGTTAAGTGTTAAAGAATTGACCCAAGACCACTGAAAATAAACAGAAACTAAAAATACAGGCTAAAACTTAATCATTAATAGACTAACAAAAGTCAATTTTTAAATAATAATAACACAAAAGAAATAATATCAAAAATATAAATATTTCTTTCAGGGAAAGAGAAATTTAAGTTTACTAAATTTTCAAGCATAAAATAGACCTGCAATACTTCTTATAACACTAAGACAAACAGAAATGAAAAGGCAAATATTTCACAGAGGCAGATTTTTTGACATTTCCTAGTATCTTTTTCTTTACCTTGAAATCATCTACAGATTATTAATCTCTATGGAAAAATTTCTTAATTTAAATAATCTTAAAATGTACACAAATTTAAAATACTTAAATAAAATTTCAAGCTAATCTGATTTATGAAGATATTTAGATAGTTTTATAATCTATTAATATATTTAATTTCTATCACTTATATCCAGACTGGCTACTCTGCAAACAAAACCAAATGATCTTAGATATACAGAATAAAAATATAAAATTTTATCAAATTTTCATAATTCAAATTAACATTTTAATTGCAATTAAAACATTTACGTATATTTAAAAATATTAGTTAAATATTCTCAGTATTTAACTAAAACATTTTGATTAAAAATAATTCTTATTTATTTTATTACAGGCTTTAAATAAATTGAAATTGGTTTCCAATGGTAATTTCAAATTCCCTCAGAATTCCAGATTTTCCTTGTTTTAAGAGTGAGAGACCACCCTGATAACAATCTAAATCAGTTTCCATAAAATGTAAAATTTGTAAAAAATTTCGATAACAGCCAAGAAACTGTTCAAAAATATTTTGTAAGCACCTAAAAAGGAGAAAAGGTAGCATTTTGCCTATTTTTTACTGACAAGGATCGATGAGGAGTATCATACGAACAATGCTTACACAAAATACTAAATTTATGCTATTTTAAAAATAAAAAAAAATTCAAATACAAAAATATGGAACAAAAATACCTGGTAGAAAGACTTAAGTTCAAAAAGATCAAGAGTTTTGACCACAGAATAAAAACAAAAATGATTCCTAAAGTATATTTACTCAAATGTTATAAAATGAGTAAAAAGTAAATATTGTTTAAAACAAAACTACATCTTTATTTGAATTTAATCCTAGAGCTAAATTACTACAGCAAAATGAAAGATAATGTAAAAAACAAGGGATGTTGCAACTTTTTTTACATAATCATGGGAGGAAAAATATCCAAAATTTCTTTACAGAAAATTTTAACAGGTTCCAAACTTCTCCTGCTTTTGGGCATGAGATCTTTTTTATATTTATTCTATTTATTTATTCTTGTGATTAAAAAATTTAATTTAAATCAATTTACACACACCCAAACAAAATTTTAAAAAAAGACCAGAAAACAAAAATCTGAGATGCGTCTAAAAGCAAGACCGAAGTTCTACTTAATTTGTTACTTTACTATCTATATTAATTATTGTGAAGAGTGAGGTTAAATATTAAACTAGTAGAGGTTATTTACTAAAAGAAAAATGATAATGTCTTACAACCAGCTGAGAAAGTTACTTCCCTTATTCTACATCTGACTAACGTTAATGACACTAAAATTAATGTTCTTAAACCATATTGTTCATTAATCAAAATTTCAGAAATGCAAGTCTTCTTGAAGATTAAAATTAGACATATTACAATATAGCATATTAATGCTTTCTGAAACAAAATATTAGACCTAATCTTCTAGAAGGACAAAGGGTTTCAACTTTATAATAATGAAATTAAATTTGTGTTTGTTTATTCTTTTTTTATTATTAATTATTTGAATACTTCTGAAAATCAACACAGATTTAAAAAATCAGACAAGGTTTATTTCTTATTTCAGTTGTTCCATGTTAAAAAATAAATTTTGCTATATTAAGTAAACAAAAAACAAAAAGCTGCTAATTAGATTAATTAGTTCAAATAGTTAGAAACCACTGAAAATCTAAAATAAAAGCCATGTTCATAAAAAAAAAAGAACTTTAAGAAATTGTTCAAACATGTTTTGGAATATTAAATATATAGTTTACAAAACAATTTTACTTAAGTAGAGTAAGGATTAACAATTCTGTAAACTATTGAAGTTGTCTTCTTAATATTACCAAAAAATATCTGCAACAAAAACTTGAAAATCTTTTGTCCTACCCTCTTTTTAAAAAAAATCTTTACAACAACTCAGGACAGTCTATATCAATATATGAGAGGCAATATCATAATACATAACAAAACAAAGATAAGTAGTTTTTTCCTCATGATACAAAATGCTATTTTAAGTTTAAATATGTAAGTTTGATAATGAATTTTCAAAGTTTAAAGTTAAAGAAAAGTTATTTTTTTATATCTGTGAAAATGAAAAGCATTTCCTAGCATGTAAAATTCATTTTGAAAATAAGTAACCTCTCAACTGCTATTTCATCTTTTCTCTCCAAGAATATTGGAAATGACCAAAATTATAGCATTCGGGGAGATTTCCATATCGTGATGTGTGGCAGAACAATCGCCAAATCTTGGCAACTTCCGGGCACAACCCGCAAGAAACTGAAAAAAGCATCACAGAAAGGGACCAACTCGAAAGGTATAACTCGTAGCCACCCCTGGGCTAATGTCTACACATTTTGTTTGTTTTTTTCTTCTTTTAAATATTCAAGTTTAAAACCTATTTGGCCCTTTGGTGATTGCAGATCATGATACGGATATATCCCCAAACATTCATTGAGGGATAAATCAATCAAATTACAAATGTAAAAAAATTATGAAGGTTGCATATTATTAAATGCATTACAACAAGCTTTCATAATTCATGTTAGATTCCACAGATTAAATTTAAAAAACACTTTTGCACACTGCAACTAATTATATCTAGAAATACTTCACGACATAATAAATCAATAAAGCTTATTCTCTTATTTCGTTTAAAGACAATAATAAAGGGCATTTAAAATGCTAAAAATCAGTTGTTTATCAAAGAATTGAACTACTATGTTGCTAAACAACTGAAAGAAAAAAAAAAGTATAAATCCAGTGTTAATTACAACAAAACTATTTCAATTCCATGTGTATCAAAAAGTGTTCGTAATTTTTGCATTAATTGGTACAAGCATATTCCCATTTCATTCCTAAGAAAGGAAAGAGCATTTTACCGAAACAAATACAATATTAATAGTTAGAACATTTTTAATATGTTTTATCGCTTATCATGCAATTTTATGCATCTATGCACAAATGACTCCCTATTAAGTGCATTGCATATTTACTTATAACTTACGTTTCAAATAAACTATGCAGTCAAAAAAGACAGATCAATGTAACCTAAATCTTGCTTCTAATTTACATGTTATTATAGTTTAACTGCGTCATTTTAAATAAGAATTTATTAATGGTGAAGTCATTAAACCAGCTGTATAGATAATACAATCTTCGCTTTTATTTAAATATTCTTTTGGTTGCAGAAAACCCATTCAGCCTTCACCATGATGACAAATATGAGGAGAGTTGAAGTGTTTATTAAACAATAAGTAATGGCGGGAAATATGCCTCAACTTCCACTTTTCCTAACTGGCTGGTTAAATAACGAAGGAAATGACATATTCTTCTGTTTAAATTTATGGAAATCTGTTAAAATAAACGAATGTATGAAAAAATGTCAAAGTTCATCTTCACTTTAAAGAAATAATTACTAATGGGATTTTTTTCTGACTTGATTCGAAAAATAATCGTAATCGTCAATTTGACTTTGACGTTTGTTTGTAAACATTTATCGCGTCGTCACGAATCACGATTATTGTCATAGCTGTTCCACTTTTCGTGTCAGAGTAATTAGATTCAATCAAAGTGTTCAGTTGAGTTCTAAACCGTTTAAGTTCAAAATCATAATGAGTATGCATTTAAATATTTTTATTTTATTTTGTATGTTGAGTATTTCCTACTCCATGATGACAGGAGGATGGACGCCAGTTTCTGATGATAATCCGGATGCACATGAACACGCCAAGTTCGCAGCTCGAAAAATCTCAGCTTCGACAAATAACCTTTATCATATGAAAGTTACTAACGTTTCTAATATTCGACGACAGGTAAGATATATATTCTTCTTTGGCGAGGCTTATTTATATTTACCAGTTCACGCAATATACAAATGAAACATAAGTGATTTCATGGATACGTTAGGCTGGTTTTTATCCTAACAGATCTGAAACTGAAGTAATAAAATGATAAAATTGTATTTCCTTTCAGTTACAAATTGTGTGTTTCAATCAATAATTTAGAATCGTATCCTAAACAACATCCTTAAAATTAGCAAAAAAAGAAAGTTATTAAAATTTTTTTGTTTGTTACTTCAGCATGAATCATCAATTTGAGTGCGTTTTACATTGAATATGAATCATCTAATTGAATATGCATTATATAAGCATAAATATTTTTTTGGTTTGTTGTCATGACAGATGATGATGAAATAGAAGAGGAGAAATATCATGCATTAATTAATTTGCTACAGGTGTTTAGATTCTTTTAAAAGAAAACTTTTCGCTGTAAATAAATGTTTTAAAAAAAAGTTTTTTTTAAAATAAGATCGCGGTATATATTTTTTTGAAGCTTATAAAAGAATGCTTGTAGTCATTTATGAATTCTTCAAAATAAAAAGTTTCTATATTTTAAATAATTTGTGTTTCTTCAAATATATGAATATTACCTCAGTAAAAATTAATTGTTAAAGAGAGAACAGCTAAATAAAAATGAATTCTTGCATACAAGAAATGATGAGGCTTTTATATAGGCATTTGTTTGGTTTTTTTTATCAAGATTAATTTTAGGTTTAATGTTATATCTTAAATTACATACAAACATAACATTAATTCCTTCTAATAACATAAAAATTTTCTTTTTTTCCCATGCATCTGAAATAACACAAAAGTAACTGTAAAAATAAGTTATAATTTAGACTTTCAGGAGTCATTTTTAGGAGAAATTTGAGTCTGTTTTCTTCAAAATTTTTCATCTTGAAAAAGAACTTTTCACAAAATAGTTTATCATTAAAATGGACCTTATGCAAAATTTTTACCTAAACAATTTGTTTAAAAAACCTATACTAATATTTCCCAAACTTATGACTTATGTGTACCCATTCTAAATTTTTCGTGACGTTGAGTACCACTAATAAAAAATGAATGAATTTTTTACTAGAAAAAATCGCACAAAAGGTTAAAATCACAGTTGACTGTTGACACCACTAATTATTAACTGTTAACTTTGCAAAAAATAGCCAATAGAAATATGCATGATCGTAAATTTCCATGACTAGCTTTGTTTTTAAATAAAATATTTTGAAATTTTCATTTGTTGCAAAGATATTTCGCATAAGAATGCGTACCCCTGCTAAACTGTTCCCGTACCCCTGGGGGTACGCGTACCACACTTTGGGAAACACTGCATTAATGAAATGTTTTTGTGTTTCTGTTCCCAAAACAAAAAAAAAATCTTATTTTTACTTATTCACAAAATTATAAATTGATTTTTAACAAATATGGACCTATCACAAAATGCTAGAACAATTCACTGGTTTTTTTTAATTCGTTTTTAAAAAAATCAGATCTGTATTTTAACAAATTCACAAAATTATGAGTTTGTTTTCAAGTCTTAAAGAAAACTGATCTTTCATAAAATGTCTGGAAGAACTATTCCACGAGAATTTCTAAAAGTAGGTAGGATCAAGTGGATATAAAATCAAGCTTTTTATAAAGAAGCTTGTTAAACCGAACCATTAAATTTAATTTAGTTAAAATTTTGATGCATTTTATATGCACTGGATTCATATAGATTAAGTATGAAGCATACCTTAACTTCATTGGTGGCACCAAACTTTGCCCGACAAAGGGTCAAGCCTCCTTCAAGAGGAGGGGGGATCAAACAAATTAATTCAAAATGCTTAAAACATATTTTTAATTTCATTTGAGAAAAAGAGTGAGTCCATCAGCTTAAAATATTAAATTTAAACAAATACAGCTTGAACTTTTAATAATTTTTCAATTAGCAAATTTTAAATTTGTGTCCAAAAAACAAATATTAATCAATTTACATTTGAAAAAATTTGCTATATATGCCTGCTGTCTGTCTTCCTGTGTCTTCTTCTCTCTGCATAGCTAAAAGCAGACTTTCCAATTTTCGCTATGCAGAACCCCATTACATAGTGGCATGCGCCAGCACCGAATATCAGAGGTGATTGTATTCCGGTTGTACCCCTGAATTCCGTGTTTTTCATTTTATTCCTTCATGTTTGGAAACTAAAAGCAAGGCATGTGATTTTTTCGCAGAATTCAGCACATCTCAAGACCATTGGTTTGCGGATTTCCTAGAATCAGAACTTATAATCCGAGGAAATTTTCACTGCAATTTAATATTTAATGTAGGAATTAAGTTCTACGATCTAGAATTAAAATTTTTAAATCTTCACTGAACGCATTATCGAGATTTTTTCAAACACGTGTCTCTTCTGCTATTAAACATTTTTGGTTTGTCAGCTTTTCATAGTTTTTAATGTTTGAAACTATGCCGGAATCCTCTAATATCGAGATTCATATTCACACATTTTTAATATCTATCATCGATTTTCGTATTTACCTAATTTAAAAGTTATTAATTGTGAATCGTATTAGTGCGATTTAAAAATCGAACATCGTGATTCATATTCAAGCGAGTTTAAAATCCTATGTCGCTATTCCTAGTCACTGGATCTAAAAAATCGTGTGCATCGCGATTCAGAAATCCAATAATGCAATTTGTGTTTTCACATTCTTAAAATCCAATATCGATTATGCGATATTTCATATTCATGCGATTTTTAAATCCAATAACCGCGATTCTTGTAAGAATGTGTCCTTAAATTAGTTACTATAAAAGTGTGATATTCTTTATTAATAAGTAATTTAATTATAAAAAAATTATTGTGTCACAATCATCCCTGAACCATTCAAACAGCGAAATATTTAACAAAGTTTAACACACATCAATGCAAAACACTCTCTTATCTATGATTTAATTTACTTTTGCTTTTATAGTTATGAATTTTAAGTCACAAAAAAATTAGGGGGTGCAAGACCGAATTTCAATACAATACTTTTTCCAAGTTCGATTTCTAAATAAAAGTTTCTATAGTTCTAAAATTAGCATATATTTTGCTAACAAACATATGTAAATATTGTTTTAGAAATAAAAATGCTCTTAAATAAATGTATCATGATTATATTTAAAAGAATAAATGCAAAAAAATATTTTTTTCGTACTTTTTAATTAAGGAGTTAATGTTCATGGTTATCAAAATTAGGTTTCACTTCGGATGCAAAATATTTTGCTGAACTTTACACAATTTCATCATAAAGCAAGAAAACTGTAATAGTTTTTGTTTTATTTGAATTATTAAGAGAGTGTAAAAATTAATATCTATAGTGGTAGTTTAAAGTGTTTTTTACTATTTATTGCAGTTTTGTATTTTAATTCAATTTAGTCATAAGGAAATTGTTTTGTTTTTTTATGAAAAAACTGCCATATGAAGGCAGAAACTTGCGTGACAACTCATTTATATCTTTAATGTTTACTAAGTTGTACCATTATGCTATTTTTAATTCAATGTTATTAATTTTCTGCTATATTGTTATTTCCTCCTTATCATTCTTCTCTTTCAAAATTTAAAAGAAACTTTGTTTTCAGTGTTAAAATTACTATGTAGGGTCATGTAGGTTGAACTGGGTAAGTAAATTATTTTTTAGCTCTTTCATTATGAAATATAGAGCATTAGATACTTACTAAAGCTGACACAGAAGTAAAAGTTAAATATCCCTATCATGCAACACTTAACAAAGCCTAACCTTATAGCTTTACCCCATCTCAGAAAGTAATTCATAATAAATAGAATTTTGAAATATATCCTTAAATTCCTATGTAGATCTGTTTTTTAATCTACTAGTTTGAACTAAAATTGATAGTTTTTGTCAGATTTTAATAATATTAAAAGAAAGTTCGATAGCTTAAATAAACTAACATACTGTACAGTGTACAGTTGGTCATAAGCAGGAAGTTAGTCAATATTAAATTTTTTATCAGTTTCTAAAACTGAAATTAAAATGCTTGCTGCAATCCCAGTTAATGTCTTTAAAAATATTAAATAAATATTATCTTGATTTGAAAGGAGAAAATAGATGTTTTTTTTTAACACATACTCACCCCTCCCCCATCTGACCCTATATTTTACTGAATGGACAGTAAAAATTTAAATTTTCTTGCAAATGAAAGACTGAAAGAAGCCCTTAAGGCTTTAATTTGCACGGAATTAACTTCACAAGGCATGATTGAAGGTAGTCTGCAATTACGACAAAAAGAAAAAGAGCATGAAACAAGAACAAAAGATAAACCAAATTGTTAATAAAAGAAAGCAAACTCTTATGCTACAATCATTTATGTCCAAAAATTTAAATTTCCATTCGATTTAATAAAGTACTTGTTATTTTTTATCTCTGAGGGGCAGTTTTGTTATTTTTAATTGCTTTTTCCTTCTATTAACATTAATATTTTATTGTAATTCGACTTTTATTTAGGTACCTATTTTCTAATATGTATGCCTTTTATATTTGTACAAAAAAATTTTTTTAATTTGAGCATAGTTAGGAGGATTGGGTGATAAATCGATGTATCGCGGAATATCGATATAACGCATATATCGGTAGGCCGATATAGTGACTTTGGTTTTAGGCGATGTATCAGATATCTGATTTAAGCCGCCGGTATAAGACTACAATCGCAATTTAACGATTTAATATGCAAGGATCCTTGACTACGCTAACCCTATATTACCGCACTGACGAAGACGATTTTGATTTCGTCTAACTGCAGAGATGTAGATAGCGTTTAGCTATAAAGACGATGTTAGTTTAGTGATGTTGAACAAAGAGCGAATTGAATCATAACTCCTGGTTTCGTGTAATATTTTGTAATATAGAACGCAATGCGTAGTCTTTGGAATTTTGCGTTTTTTGAAGATTGTGCATTTTATTTCGTCGGGAATAATTGTCGGGTTTCTTGTAGATTATTTTCCAGAGTGCGTAGCGTTTTTAACAGGTGCTTATTTTCGTTATTTAAAAGCCCTTAAAAGTGCTTTTTTTTCCATGGCTGTTTTTAAAAAGTGCTTAATTTTCCCTTTTCCGAAATGTGATATTTTTCTTTACCATGTTGATTTTCGCCACAAATTATGCAAAAAGACATTGTCCTATTCAACGTTTTCGAAATTAATTCAACCCCAATCTGTTTTGGCGTACCGCCGGTCTGTAGTGTATGAAAGCACCATTTGTTTTACATGTTTGATGAAATACTTGCGGGTCCGCACTTGCGTTTACTGAGGTGGATTCAGTGGTAAGAATTTTTGACTCTCATGTGCAACCCTGCTGCATTTTGCAAGAGATTCTCAATTTCAAACTTCATTTTCCGCCCTCTGTAATAGAATCAGAAAATCTCTCGAATTTTTGTTGATTACGGGGACCAACTAAACATTGTCAATTTTTCCTCTCTATTAGTGATAGAAAAATTCATTTCTCTTGTTTATTTCATCGTTTGTGACGCATCATCGTCTTCGTCACTGTAAATAAAACCATCAATTGTCAAAAACTTGCCAACCCTGTCTAATTATGATATTTTTCAAAGTGCTTAAAAATATTTTTTGAGTGCTTTGAAAAGTGCTTAAAAGGTGCTTATTTTTGGTTGAAAAATTTGGCTACTCACCCTGTTTTCAGTCAGAATTTTGCTACTTAGCAATCGTTTCGTTCTACATTATTTCATATAATTTTTTTTTTTCTGTCTGGATTTAACGATTCTTGTCAATTATTTTTAGCAGACCTACTGTTACTTTGTGATTGCTGCACAATCGCTGTTATCTTAAATTTTCGTTCTGAACTCAATTGATCAATGAAAAGAAAATATAAATAAAAAAAAGAATCGTCATTGATTTTTTACAATTATTGTTTTTCATTTTAAGCGATACAATTTAATAGAGATATTTTGTATTTATCTTAGTTATAAAATGTTAGTTTTTTTAAAATTTATTTAATGTAGGTAAGCAGTGGCCCCCATCCCCCCAAGCATTTGGGCAAATTCTAAACCCCCCCCCAAAACTAATAGTTTTATTTAGTGTAAAAATTCTCCCCAAGCTTTAAGTGGGCGCATCGTGCGCCCACCTTCCCCCCTGATGGGGGCCCCTGTAGGTAAGTATAATAGTTTGATTATTTTTAAACCAATAAATGACCAGTCCTTTTTAAGTATTACAAAAATTAAAACAAAGGTAGCTTTATTTAATTTGCTTTCATTTTTGAGAAACTGAAAACAAAGTTTTAAAAAAATTTGGCTATTAGTTAAAGCAAATAATTTTTTTTAACTAAATAAAGAGTTGAGTAATGTTTTGACGCTTTTTAATTATTTAACATTAGTACTTCAAGGTTTTTTTTTTTTTTTTTGATTTTTATTAAAATTCTTTCAATACTTGTTTGTTTTATAACTTGTTGTTAGATAGTCAGTATCATTTTTAAACAAATAAATCTTTAGTTGATTTTATTTTCAAAAAAGAGAATAATAATAAATAAGTAAAATTGTTTTTACATTTGTTTTGACCATTAGTTAATATTACATTTTATTATTTTAAATAATTAAAGAAAAGAGGGTCTAATGATGTTTCAAAAGCATGGTTTTTTTTCAACAAATAATTTTAAAAAATGTTTTTTTTTTTTTCTAAAGTGAACATTTCTTTGTTTGTTTGTTTCTTTTTCTACTTTCGTTTGTTTTTTGTTTTTTTTCCTTTTAATTTTTAATGCATGTATGTAAAATATTTTGTTACAGTATTATTATTTTTAAACCAATAAATCTTAAATCATTTTTAATTTAAGAAAAATGAAATAAAGCTTGGGTTTGCTTTTACTTTAACTTCTTTATTCTTTTAATTGAAAAAATTAAGCAATGATATTGATGTCATAGTGGAATATGTTTAGAATTAATATTTTCATTTGTAATAGATGTATTCATTTTTATTGATTTAAAGATTTCCCATAGGTAATTTTTGAACATATGCTACATCGCGATAGCTAACGAACGATGTATCACTCTTTAAAATTTCTGACATCACCCAGTCCTAATCATGGTATTTGACAATTAAGCTATAATTATAGTAATTTGGCTATTATTTTTGTTCCTGTTCAGGCAACTATTTTCATAGTTTTAGGCTACTATTTTCCTGCTTGAGGCTACTAAAAGCAACTATTTTTGTTCATTTTTTACTGTGGCAACCCTGCCAGGTTTGCCGCAGGCAACTGAATTGCGACTATTGGCAACTATTTTCGACCTGAGGCGACTATGGCAACTTTTTTTGCCTGAGAAGGCTAAAGGAGCAACTATTTTCAGGAAAAGGAGACTATTGGGAGACTTTTCTGTAGTCCTTGCAATATTTTTTCTTAGCATAAATTAGGTTGACAACCATCGGCCCACGGAAGCTTTTGAACACAATTAATTTTTTTCTTAAAAATAGAAAAATGTTGAATTGCAAATTTGAATCATCACTTTTTAATGCGCTCAATTTGCACAGTAGTAAGTTTTTTTTTTAAAATGAAAAAATATTTCTTGAATGATTTCTAGTATATTAAAGTATCTAATTTTCTGCAAATATACAAATTTTTTTGATAAAAAATTTTTGTTCTAGAACACTAATGTTTATATAAAAATGATCATATTTCCCACCAACTTGACTATATGGATCATGGTATATGACAATTAAGACATTTAATAAAATTTTAGTTATATTTTCGTTCGTATTTAAGCAACTATTTTCATAGTTTCCGGCAACTGTTTTCGTGCTTTAGACTACTAAAAGCAACTATATTGTTCATTTTTTTCCGTGACGACCCTGCTTCCGATTAAAATCGTGTGGTTGAAGATCTTCTGAAGTTGATGACGCATATATCAACTACAGCAGGGACGGATCCAGAAATGTTTCCTGGGGGTCATAGACTCAGATCCCTCCCACAATTAACCCTTTTGAAGGCCGTGGTAAGTATACTTACCACCACGTTTTACCACTTTTAATTTAGGTTTCCATTTTTCAATAACTTCAGCTTTCTTGAAGTGAGTTTGAATGAAATTGGTAACCATTTGTCACTTTTAAAAAACGTATAAAAGTTATAAAATACATAATTCCTTTTGAAGTTTGTTGCATTTAAGGAATTTATTTTATAAATAAAGAAAAATAAAAGTCAGTAAGTTCCTAATAGGTCATGTTAAATATATTTACCACCAAAAAAATGGCATTTTTATAAACTAAATTAGTTTTTTTTATATATATCAATTACTGTTCTTACAACAATTTCAATTCCAAAGATACTTTAATTTACCTTTACTAGAAATAAAGGGCCCATTAAAGGGTTAATTTTTTTATGAAAAAAAAATTTTTTTAATATTGTTTTTGAAAAAAAAGACTGAGGTTTTTAAAGCTAGTCTTCTCATTTATATTTTTCATAATGAACAATAGAACAATGCATAAATAACTCAAGTATTAATAATTCAAGCATGGTGCCGGATTTTAGTTACGAGTTTCGAAAGTTTTTCTTTTCACCTTTATACAATCTTTGGTTAAGCCAGTTGAAGAGCGCTTTAACATTATTAATGTTTACAATGAAACTATGACGAATTTCGTTTTAATCTTTTGGATTATGATTCTTGAAACAGTGAAGAACATAATTGATGAAGAAACAAATCTTAAATAATTTTTTAAATATTATTTTTTTTGTGTGTGTGTGAACTATTAAAAAAATTATTATTTTTATTTTATTTTTCAATTTTTTTTTGGGGGGGGGTCATTACGCATCCCATTTCTTTTCAATTCCTTCACTATCATATTCAATACTATCTGTTCCCTATAATACTGATAAAAAGATAAATATGAGCAAATATGCTAATGATAATTACACTTAATACTAATATTTTTACGATTATTTTTCACAAATCTATGTTTGGAAATGTAAATTGCATATTTTTATTTATTTTTTACATTTTAGGTTGTATCAGGATTAAACTACAAAATGACTATTACCTTGGCACCTACAGAATGCAAAAAGAACCAAAATGTTTCTAGGGATGAAATTGAAAACTGCCCACTTCTTCTCTGCAAGGTAAGTGTCAGATGATAATTTAATTTTATTGTATGATGTATCGCCTTAAGTTCAATAACTTACAAACTGAATTAAGTGCAATGACACAAATCTTATTATCCCTAACTATAAATTAAGAAGTTATACATCTATCCTCAAAAACTATGAAATGTGTGACAAAATATTCAATTATGAAATTACTAAGCTCAAACTATATCTACATGTATAAGTTTAACCAGAATGTGTCATGCTTAATTCATATGAAAGAATACAGGCACAAAGACTGTCATTTTAATACTTTAAAGAAATATTACCATCATTAGCACAAACCAGTAGGCATTGATTTAATTCATATGAAATTATGTTGATTTGATCTACACAAAGACTGGCATTTCAATACTTTAAGCAAATCTTACCATCATTAGTGCCAACCAGTAAGCATTAACGATTTAATTCATATAAAATGATGTTGATTAGATCTGCACAAAGATTGTCATTTTAATACTTTAAGCAAATATTACCATCATTAGCGCGAACCACTTACCTATTATGTCCTGTTTAGAAGCAGATGAAAAAACAGTAGAAAATAGGAAAGCGCGTCAAGTTGCTTATGGCAACATTTCTGGTGGACATGGTATAGGCCTTCTTTTCACGATAACATAAATAAATAAATGGCAGGGTGATTTACGCAGTGCCTGAACTCGGGAAACAAAACTATTTCAGATATATATATTTATTCGACAAATGTGAATTAAATTACAAATGATTAGGGTCGTCGGGCTACCGAAGCGGGGGGTGCCATCCCCTCTGCAGAGGATCAAGATTGTGATGGCATGTCTTCGGATCATCCTTAAGGATGCTTCGCAGACCGTCACCAATAGCCCATTGTGCAGCTCTAGTGCGACGTAAATGAACTACAAGAACAACAACGACAACTACAAATGATTAGATGAAAAAGTTAACATATTAATAGCTACACATAGCATGTTAGCAGCTTAATAATGCTTTAAGCATTCTAATTTTGTTTCATCAAGTTTACTAAAATGTGCCTTGTTGTTTTTTTCCACTAATATCATCAGTTATTCTTCTTTTTAAAATAATTTGTGATGTGAAATTTTAATTTGCAGGCACCATTGTCATGCAATGTGAATCTATGGGTTCAAGCTTGGTTGAAAGAAGATGGCACTAAGTTAACCAAGTCAACATGTACACCATTGCCAGTTGATAGCAACTGCTGAACATGTTGAAGGCTCAGATAGCTTATGTTAATGCGCATTATTTCTATTGCTTATTCATGTTGTTCTTAAATTCATTTTTATATTTTGCATGCTTTTCAGATTTTAAAATATATGTATATTAGCTTTTATTTGTCTTTATATTAATTAATAAGTAACAATTCTTCTTTTTGAAAGCTACACTCTTAAACTATTTTAATTGTCTTGAAACAACTTTACAAATATTTTTTTTTAAATTTGTGCCCAACTTTGTTTATTTTGTTTAATGTACAGTTTTTTTAAAAAATATTTGATGGTGATGATAAAAATAATGAATATGACATTGTTGTTATGAAGTATAAAAAACTAAAATTTTATTTTTTGGAAAAAGTTATCTTCTGAAAAGACCTATTTTTCAGTATTTTTAATAAGTATTTTTTATTTAATAAAATTTAAAAATGTCTCTTAACTCTGAATCATCGTGTTAATTAATAGCAATCTTATTTATTAATGTTGATATAATTTTAGATTTATAGATAATGTATTTTGTTTTAACCTTGATAGATCTGTTTTATTTTTTTCTTTGCTGTGATAATGGAAGCTCTGTTACCATTTACTTATTTTTATTCTATCTAATAAAACTCTTCTCCTAAATTTTGTTTGTAAAATTTTTTTACATAATAAATGAATAAATAATTTACATAAAAACATAATAAATAAAGTTATAATAAACTAACGGACCACCCTGAATAATTTTTTGATCTAATGTTCGAGTTCTTCACAATCTAGGACTCAATCTTAATGGCTCGAGGGGTGACATGAAATAGGCTAATAATTTTTGCCAATGATATCTTAAGTTACAAAATCAAACACAAAAACGTACTTTCTATGAAAAAACATACCTTTTTTCCGACGGATTTGGGAAAAAAGGGTCCCTGTAGTTTGGTCCATTTAATGTTATTTCTAATTTTTGCTTATTTCGGCATATCTTGAGAACTTCTTAAGCGAATTTAAAAATTTTGCACGCAATTATGAAAAAATTTTTTTTTTCTAATGGCAGGCACTGAATTTGAATCATTGCCTATACTATGCCAGATTTGTTGCTCATTTCGCGTTACCTAGTGGGCACCTGTAAACCAAAGTCACGTAGGCGAGCAACATTGCCCACGCCACACTGCCACAAACCCGTTTATAGGGTGGGCCACATTCACACATCATACACACACACACAACAGAGGACAGCACAAAGAGAGCGAGAAACATCCATGCCCAGAGCGGGATTCGAACCCGCAGCCTATGGCTTCGCAGTCAGGCACGCTAACCGCTCGGCCACCAGGCCGGCCAATTATGAAATTCATTTATCCAAAGCTGATCCCATACGATAAACAACTTTTAGTAAATATTAAATGTTTTTTATTATTTCATATAATTATAGTCGAAATATTTTGAATTGCAACTTTTGTATCATTTTAAAAAATGCACTTTAGCATGGCAAGATACAAAATTTGAGCGAAATCGGTCGAATAGTTCCTGAAAACTTAAATTTTAAAAAGTCGTATTTTTAAAATTTGATTTATCAAAACTATTCAATCGATTTGTTTTTTGCCATGTATATCCTTTAAAAGGATATTGTAAAAATTTGCATACTCTAATTATAACTAAATAAAATAATAATAAATTAAAAATTACTTTTTGTGTGGATTTATATTTGGATAAACTAATTTTATAATTGTGCCTGCGTTTTAAAAATCTTTCGACTGTAATTAAATAATATAATTATAAATTTTAAAAAAAAATTTATGTGGATTTATCTTTGGATAAAAGAATTTTATAATAGTTCATAAAATATTTTTTAATTCGCTTTTTAAAGTTCTCTTTGAACTTTAAAAAGCGAACCCTGGGTGTGACGAGGGAAAATTAACATTTAGGTTTCCAAACTATCGATCGCTCTCTTGACTAAACTAGTAGGACCCTATTTTCCAGATTGCGACCATTCCCTATATTTTGTGAGTAGAAAATTTAAATCCTTCGAAAATAAAAGATATGTTTATTCTGAGAATGTACAATTTTTTGTCTGATTTAGTAACTTAAAATATCGTCTGCACTAACATTTGAGGTCGCCCTTTTAAGAACGATTACGATTGAGTTCTGGTACGTGAAAATCCGATAATTTCAGGATCAAAAATTATTCAAAGTATCAGTATTTTTTGCGCTTTGTGGAGCATGGCCTTAATTAAAATAGACGTTTTTAAGGCGAGTCTGATAACTGCAAACTGCTGAATCACCCTCAACCAAATAAATATGCAGTAATTACTATTTAGACTGATCAAATGTGATTTTCAAAAAAAGAACAAAAAATAGTTTTGGTTTTTCATTACTCGGGGTTAAAATGAAGCTCTAAGGCTGTTTTTAGGTGCAAATGCAAAAATTTAGCATTTTACATTAAATTATTGGCTTTGCATTTTATCTGACATTGCATTGCATTTTGCACTTATAGATTATAAAACACTTTAGCAGTCCTGTTACCCCATGGCAGCTTATGCAGATTTTTACTTGAAAACAAGGTTATTTGAAGAATGACCGTATTTGAAAAAAACTTATTGAACTGCAATCACTTAATTTTAGAACTTCTGTACCTGGTTATACCTATTTACCCGAAAAATAACTTTACATCACAACTTCAAAAGCCAAACCGTTTAAGAAATAAAAAATTTTAAATTCAATTAAGAAGTCAATTCGTCAATTCCATTTGTTTGTTTTCCATTTTTCGTGAAAATTAGTTTAGATTTTGAAGACGAAAAGACTATATATAAAGTTGGACGTTGTAAAAAATTTTGACCTAGGAATCGTCCTATTAATAATTCTTTAGTAAGGAACAAAATTAGTTTTTGTTAAGTATAAGAAAAGAAAATGGTATAAGAAATGGTAGTAAATGGTATAAGAAAAGAAAATATGTGAAAGAGAACATACTTTTATTAAGGACAATGCCGGTGCCATTTTTAATAAATCTTGTTTAATATAAAATGAAATTTGTGGAACACCCCTTTTCATCCAGAGCTTTCTTTAAATAAATACAAAACTACTTAGAAAATCGCTATAAACTTTTTAAATTTTCAAGTTATTTAAATCGGACATTTTTTCAGAAGTTACTAAATCTGACTCACTAAAAAATGAGGAAAAAATTTTTTGCGCATGCGCAATATGAAAGAACTACTGCCTTCTTGTGCTATTCGTAACGATTTTTTTTTAATGATTATTTTATTAAATATTTTGAAAGTTGTAGCAAAAAACAAAATCGTGCTACAAAAAAAAAAGTTTTTTATGAAAAATGGCTGTATCTCTATAAATATTTAAGTTGGCTTGCGAAATTTTATGCGATTGTTGCATATAATAGCCAAACTAATCGAGAAAAGTTACAAATTTATTGCTGTACTTTCTGAGATAGGGTGTCCAAAAACAGTTTTTTTTTTTTTTTTTTCGTTTGCAATTTATTGCCGGTCTTAAGGCATTAACTTAAACTTTTTGCTCTTTAAACTTAATTGATAAGTATAAGAACAAATTTCCGAAACCTAAACACCTAAAGTTATAAAATAATTCTCGAAGAAATTTAAAAACATGTCAAAACTTGAAAGTGTCCCTTCAGTTATTGTAAGGTAGCGCACGTAGTCCCTCTCCACCCTGAAGTACAGGACTTTACCCCTCAATGATTATGCTTAGAGTTTAAACATAAAAAGTAAATAAGGTAATAATAGCACGATAGTAATAAATAAGTAAGGAAAAAATTACTTTTTTAGCTGTAAAAGTTGGATTAAATATTGAAAAAGCGCATTTTTTTGTTAACACCCATTTAGAGCTGTGTTCATTTTTGTAAACCCGCGCATTTTGATCTGTATTTTCGTAAACAAGCATTTTCAGCTGCCTTAATTTTTGTAAACCTACATTTTGAGCTTCATTTTCGTAAAAATGCATTTTGAACTGTGTTCATTTTTGCAAACCCGCTTTTCAAGCTGTATTTTCATAAACACATATTTTTAATATTCAGTTTTGTTAGAGCTGTGTTCATTCTTATAAACCCGCATTTTGATTTGTATTTTCGTAAGCACACATCTTGAATTTTCATTTTTGTAAACCAACATTTTGAGCTATATTTTTGTAAACAGCCATTTTGAGCTATGTTCATTTTTGTAAACTTACATTTTGAGCTGTATTTTCGTAAAGATGCATTTTAAACTGTGTTCATTTTTTCAAACCCGCTTTTCAAGCTGTATTTTCATAAACACACATTATCAGCTATATTCAGTTTTGTTAACCAGCATTTCGAGCTGTGTTCATTCTTATAAATCCTCATTTTGATTTGTATTTTCGTAAGCACACATCTTGAATTTTCATTTTTGTAAACCAACATTTTGAGCTATATTTTTGTAAACAGCCATTTTGAGCTATGTTCATTTTTGTAAACCCACATTTTGAGCTATATTTTTGTAAACAGCCATTTTGAGCTGTGTTCATTTTTGTAAACTCGCATTTCTAGCTGTATTTCCGTAAACACGCATTTTGAGCTGCGTTAACTTTTGTAAACCTACATTTTGAGCTGCGTTAATTTTTGTAAACCTACATTTTAAGCTGCGTTCATTTTTGTAAACCTACATTTTGAGCTGGGTTTATTTTTGCAAACCCGCTTTTCAAGCTGTATTTTCACAAACGCATAATTTGAGCTATATTCAATTTTGTAAACCCGCATTTCGACCTGTGTTCATTCTTATAAATCCGTATTTTGATTTGTATTTTCGTCAGCACACATCTTGAACTTTCATTTTTGTAAATCCATATTTTGAGCTGTATTTTTATAAACAGCCATTTTGAGCTGCTCTCGTTTTTGTAAACCTTCATTTTGAGCTGTATTTTCGTAAACACGCAATTTGATCTGTGTGTATTTTTGTAAATCCGCATTCCGAACTGTATTATAGTAAACAAGCATTTTCTACTGTATTCGTTTTTGTAAACGCGCATTTTCTGCTGTATTCGTTTTTGTAAACGCACATTTTTAGCTGCATCCAAAATAAAAAAGCTCACTGCCTAAGATTTGCACTTTTATTAAAACTTTAAAACGTCAAAAGTGTTTTTTTTTCTTTTGCTTTATTATATGCTTGTAATTCTATACATATTCCAAAATATTAAGTTAATATTTTTTTAATGAAATACGAAAAAATTACATGTTATAAAAATTACAAAATTAATGACAGACACACAAATAATTTAAAATTTGAACTTTTTATTTTCGAATTACATTATTCCATTTTCAAAAATCAATTTGTGGGTAGTTACAAAATAATAAGATCATAACCATTATTTTTACATTCAAGTCGCACTCTTACGTTGCTAATCGACAGTTCAAACTTATCATATCTTTTCACAGTCCTTTGAGCTGAAATTAGTAATTACCCATAAACCAGATTCAAAATGGCGTCTCACGATAAAAGGAGGAAAGATGTGATGATGATATATTTGAATTCGAGAATAAAACAAAATTATTCGATAAATCAATAAATAAGCATAAAAAATATCATCAAAACAAATTTAAAAAAACTGTGATAATTTTAATTTTTAAAAATCAAATGAAAGAAACGTTTAAAGTTACAAATATTATATCAAAACAGTTGAAAATAGTACATAAGTTTCGATGAATCATCCTCTACAATTCACAGTAAAATACAAAAGAAAGAAAAAAAATGGCGGCGAAAACTATAAATATTAGTGTTTGAAAAAAATTTAATATGAAGCTGCATTTGGACTAAGCCATTATGAAAATAGCAGTTTTTAAACATCGAAATGCACCAGTGATTTCATCTGCTAAACGAACGAAAACCAATTAAACAGAAGTAGAAAAAGAGCAAAATAATCCTAACGAAAAATGACAATTTTTACGAAAGTATTGGGATCTACAGTTGAGTAGTGAAATTGAAAACATAAAAGGCTTCCTTATACCTGAAAAAATGGTTTAGAAGAGACATTGATTGAAGATGCATTGGTTTTGATGATATGATAGATCTCCTAAAAATCTAAACCTTCGAATTTATTTTTTATTTTTTTTTTAATAATAGAAGATGAATTAAATTGGACTTCATGATTTTTCAAACTTTTAATTTTATGGCTAATTTAGTTTTACGTTTAATTTATTTCATACCATTCATTTATAATGTTTTTCGCCATTTTGCTCTATTTATTTTACATTGAAGAATGTGGCATCCAAACTTGTATGTTATTTTTAACTATTTTAATATAATATTTGTGAGTTATAACGTTAGAATTTGACTTTTTCTATAAGAAAAATCATCTTCACGCATGAAATGAATGATGAAAAAATGAAAATTAATGAATGTGAAAATTAATAAATAAAAAAAAAGAACATGTACAATCAAACATTAATGTCATTTTTTTATTGAAATCAGTCCACATTGATTATAAATAAGAATTAGATTAAATGAAGAAAAAAAGCTGTGTTTATGATCTTAATTATTTCTCTGTTTTTATGATATAAATAGAGAATCTCGGGGACTGCGTCAATCTCATACAGCAGCCATCAATAAAGATCTTAAGATTGTTTTAAAATATCGTGATTCACAGCTTTTATAAAATTGACTAATGATGATGTATCCGTTGTTATATGTTAACGGTTTCAATGAGTAAAAAAAGTGCAGAGAGTTTATGCGGTTTACAGTTACTTTTTTTTATGAAAAGTAAATGAGTAAAAAAAAAATAATGGAATGTTTCAAACATGATTTAGAAGTTACAAAGTATTTTGTTCACTTTTAAAATAATTTTTTTCATTACTAAAACAAATTTTGGTGAAAAAAATTGAAGAAATTATTACAATTTAAGTATGCAGTTATTTTTGTAATGCTGATTTAAGTATTTTCTATAACAATAGCTATCAAAAAGTGAGGAAAATATCCAAGCATTGTTATAATCTTATTAAAAATTCGCAGAAAAATAAACATAAAAACTAAAATTCTATGAAAATATCAATACAAAAAAAATGTAAAAAAAACTTATGAAAAAGAAAATCAAGATGAAAATGTTTCACTTTATTTGTTTGATATATTTATATATTTATTTATTCTTTGCAATTATTATTTTAAAAGCGCAAGCAATTCCGTTACGTTAAAATTATAGTGAATAAAATTGTGTATATAGTTATTTTATAATTTTCAACTGTATGATCAAGCATATAATTTTTTCTGAATGATGTTTTGTGGGGGAGGCTTCCAAACTGAGCATGTAGTATTCTATTTTAAAACACATACACCTGAATTAAACAACCTATTTTGAATTAAAAATTACTCAATTGGAATCTAATTCATTTTAAATTTGTAAAATATGTCACCATTTTCAAAACTGGAAAGGAAAAAAAACAGTTTAATAAAATCGTACAAGGCTGTAAAATTTCATTATTGTAATACGTCAGGTGGGTTATCAAATTGAATCTGTTTGAGGTGGCCTCGAACTGTTTAAACTCAAGCTTTCCAGTTACCGGAAAGACAAAACTTTAAACTGATCTAGCTCAGCCTTGGTTGAAGCGATTTGAGACCATCTCCACAACTCCAACTTGGAAAGACACCCATTGAATAATTTCACTAAACTTCCCAAAACTGAAAAATACAGTTTAAAATTTGTAGAATATTTAAATTGTTGTCGAAGAAACTCTGGCTGCACTTTTCGGATGACAACATTATGTGCGCAGGTAGAAAAGAAGGAACTGTCTTCAGCTCATCCTCCAATCTCACAATCAGCATCCGAGGATAAGGTTTGTATATAGTACACTGAAATGCCTCCAAGAAAAATCACTTGAAGGTGAAAATGCACCTTCCCGACAAAAAACGAAAATATAAACAGGAACAAGGACGAATAGAAACATTTTTCACTCTGGTCACACTGTAAAAAAGTAAAATAGAATGATTTCAGTAACAGCGCATCAGTGAAGAACTTTTTTTGTTTAAGGAAATGTACTGTCCAGCTTTCACGAGAACTCCTCCCGACTGAAAGTATAAAGATATCTGCTGCTTCCGAAACAAGAGCAAAACCATCTGGTTTTTGACAGTAATTTCAGTGAGTTTGAGCATCAGCTCGTGAGTAACACGTCAGGAGGAGTTCTCGTGAAAGTCAAACAATATGTAATATAGATTTTTTTAAATAATATACATGTTTAGAATCCACGTCAAAAGAGTGCACACATAAGAAGTGGAAAAGGGGCCGTTCATAAATGATGTCACACTTTTTTTTCTATATTTTGTTTATCTTCCCCTTTGTCACAAAGTGTCACACTTCTCCATATTCCCTTCCCTTCTAGTCACATTTCCATATTATGTAAACAAATACTATCAGTTCAGAAACGAAACACATTTTATAGATTATATTTCAAATTTTATTTTTTTAAATTAAACTGCGCTTTTTCATGATCCTGGTGAGATTAACGATAACAATGATCAGATGTGTATTATTTTTGATGAAAAAGATGAACAATGTATAAAACAAATTATGTAAATAGTACGTAGTCTGCTGATTTTAAGCATTTTTATTTTTAAGAAAACGTGAAGTGTCACACATTTTTTTTTATTTGAATGTCTCCCTTGTCACACAGTGTCGTAAATTTCATGAACCTCCTAATTTCCTTCCAGAAGTGACATCATTTATAAAAGACCTCAAAGCGAGTGAAAAAGAAAAACACTAAAGAAATCTTACATATTGCTGAGGAATGCACGAATGAAAATAACAAAACCTGGTTGATTAGCATAGTATAAAAATGATATTCGAACCATCTATAACTTTCATCAGTCAACCAAACTGGCTTTGAAGCTTTCCACATTACGCTTCGTCTGATTTCGATAGATTTTTTTTTTCTTTTTTTCCAAGCTAAAGTAGTAATTTAAAACCGCAAAAGTACATACTCTTTCAAATTTATTTTCGGCAAGAATGCTAAAAATATATATTAATAGGGATTGTTACAGAACACCCTACATATGGGTTCACGTTTAATTTTAAAAACATTTTTTTCTTCTCTAGATTGTGGAATGCAATTTTCTTATAAAAATCTATGACTAAAGCCAATCCTTAAAAACAATAAATAGTATTATGTTTATCTTTAAAAAGAAAACAGACATTACAAACTAAAAAATGTTTGACAAAGAGACTGATGATAGTTTGCACTAGAGGGTTACAAAGTAAAATTTATGTTTATTTTTGCTGAATTTAAATAACTATATCAAGCTAATTTTTAAAAAAAAGTAAGAAAGGACAGAGGAAATAAGGCAATTTTTTAAAAAAAGTGTTTTTAGTAAAAAAAAAAAAAAAATATTATTTCCATTTATGGCAAAAATATGTCTATGAATATTGCACTGTTCTCTAGTGGAAATCTTAGAAATTTCTAAGGTGCCTATCGGGAAACAATACTAAGGAACAGTTTGATGCAAGAATGTCAGCAATGGGAAAAGTAAGGCTTATCATTATACTGTCCCTAGTCTTCATACTAATTCATCTGTTGTATATTGAAAAAATATAAGTGAGTCGAAAAAATGAATAAATTAACAAGTTACTGATTAAAATTCAAAATAAAATAAACTTAAAAATTACCTTTTGATGCGGAATTCGTTTGCATTGGCATGGTGTGTTGTCCTAATGGCTGATTACCAGCTGAAAAATGGGAATCTGAGAGATAAAGAAAAAAAAATGATTCATTCAGTTATTTCAAAAATCCATAATGTTTCGAAAACATGAAAAAAATTAATATAAAATAGTAAATTAATAAGAGAATTCATGATCTATAAAATTTAAAGATGATCACTACTCTTTAGATGTAATATGTTGCAGGCAAATTATAAAATCCGGCTCTTTGCAAACTATCGACGTCACTTTGTAATGCTTCTTCAAGGTTATCACTGTAATAAGCCTAACAAATAGACATCGTCAGTGTGCAAAGAGTCAGATTTTCCAATTATCCTACTGTATTTATTTATTTATTCATTTTTTAATGCTCGATATACTACAAATTAAGTGTAAAATTAATTCGATGTAAGATTTATGTTAATGTAATTCGATATATTATATATATGTAAGTTCAAAATGTAGAGTAAACATGGAAAAAATTACAGAACAATCAGAAAATGGAAAAAGAAAAAAAATTATAATAAAAATCCGAAGGGGAAAAAAAAGAAATTTCTGTTCTGTTCGTATTCATTTATTATGCTGTATATGTAAATGTAATTCGATGTAAATTTTTCTTCTCTTTCATAGATTTTTTCTTCGTCCCGTCATAGAGTAGGAAATTGCAAAAAAGCAAATGCGCATTTTAAGTGGAGTTCTCACTTCTCTTAGTATTAATGTTTGTTTAATAATGTTTATCTTTCTTAGTATTAATGTTTATCTTTCTTAGTATTAATGTTTATTTTCTAGTATAATATTATTACAAGTTGTTAAATCGTATTAAATTCATAAAGCTTAAAAACGTTGTATTTCTGTTTTCCCCTTATCTTGTATCGTCTCCGAGATAAAAGCGCTAGTGGCGTTGAAGGCGGTAGCACGCAGCCACTTTACAGTACCTAGACACCACTTTTATAACTCTAGCTGCAATCCTAGAAAAGTTTTAGAGGGTGAGTACAAACTGCGATTATTTCACCACACACGCCCCAGCACAGTTCCATTTCACTAGCCTGTAGTTGAACGATAAGCCCGCAAACCAGAGTAGTTGACCTTGGGGCCATATGTGTTTTATGTATAAAAAATAGCGTTGTGGCTAACTATTCAATGTTGTAATGTGATTGCCTTGTAATTGAGTTTTGTTTTTTAATGACGTTAGGCTTAATGTTTGTACTCTGATGTATGCTGCAATCTAATAACAACCTACTTGTTAATCAATATTAGCAAAATGACCCCAATCTAGGTTAGTAGTTCATGCAAAGTTCCTCATCGGAAATTAGGGTACTAATAATTATATTATTAATAATATTTGTAGTCTAATTAACTAGTTGTTACTAATGAAATTTGTAATTGTATTGTAACTAATGTAATGCAATGTAATTGTAATGTAATTTGGTAAGTAATTAATGAAATTTCAACTGTAATTATTTTTTTCCGATTTACGATTATTACCTTACCGCTATTGTTAGCTACCCGATCTACTCTAATAACCGCTACTATAATAAAGACTCAATAAACCAGTCTAAATTTATTGCCTTACTGAGGCACTTTAATTGTTTTCATGCTACTAACCCATTTTCTTTCAGCAAGCCCATACAGAAGGAGGATATAATGGATCTGTAGCATTGAAGGATTGGGCACTAGGTACGCGGCACCGCACGCACAGCTTCTGGGTGGCGACTGGTGATTTCCGCGTCCGATGGGCCTGGGTCTTTAGGGACTTTTGAAATGTGGGGATGGTTCTAATACACAGGGGCCATTACAAAGTCATAAACAAGCGGGTCGGCTGGCCACCTGCAGTAACCAAACTACAATGGTTACCCTTCCTGTAAAACTTTAAATATCCAAGATATCTTAAAAGATTCTTAAGTCTTTGAAATAATTGTTTTGAATTATTATCTCCTGCATTTACTCATTTTAAGCATTAATGTTAATAAGTCTAAAAATGTCCATTGATACTTTATATCTACACTCTCAAAAATAAGACTCTCACTTTCGATGAATCTACAAACCTTGAGCTATATTTCGGTAATTTTGAGAATTATTTCGTCTCGAAATCACGTGTTTTGTGACGAAACGGGAACTCTCAAATGTATGAGAAAAAAGTTTCCTTAATTTGAATCCTATCTTGGTGCATTGTGAGAGATTAACTAGAATGACGAAACTTGGCCGAAGACTAGACAATCGAAAATAAAGTAACGGAATTAACTGACCTCTCTGCATGGTCAAGGAGTTACCCCTCTAACCAGAAAGATCCCTGTTTCGAATCCCGCTTCGGGATTATAATTTATCTCTTTATTCTATGGATGGTGTTTTCGTCGCTAGGAAACGCTGCAAGCTCCATACCGCCTATACTTCTGTTTCCGGTGTATTTTAAAACGATTTGGCTCACTACGTGTTCGTTGTGTTTTGAGATTCTTGCAAACGTGGTATTTGATTACTTGTGTTCACAATGCTAAGAATACTTGTATTTACGTTGCTAAAGATGTTAACACTAGCGTAAGATCAGGGCCCGACTTAGCCTAATAGGGACCCGGATCAGAAATTTCTTTGAAGCCTCCCCCCCCTCTGCTTCACTATTTCAGCAATGAAGAACCAAACTTTATGAAGGTACTTAAATTTTCACCTCATTATACATAGATAACAAGAAAATTGACTATGACCTAAAATAGCTATAAAATCCCCCCCCCCACTCCAATGGTCAGACGAAATATGGTTCTGTCCATTTTATTGATTTTCTGGCAATTCTATGTCCATCATGCCGAATGTAGTTTTCTGATTGTTAACTTTGTCATCTAGCTGTGAAGAATTCATATCCTTGCTGACATTAGGGCGGAATTCAGCTAAATTTTGCAATTACGATGGCTCAATTAAGCCAGTCAGAAGCCTGTTTTTTTGTAAACATGTCGCATTTTGTGATAGGTAAAAATACAGGCTTTCTATTGGCCAAATTTGTCCATCGTAAATGCGAAAATTTTGCTGAATTCCGCACTAAAAAGCCATAGATTTACAAAATATAAAATTTTTGTGTTCATATGATAGATTAATGAAGAAGCTAACATAAAATTGACTATACACTGTACCGACATTTTGTTTAAAAAAAAGTTCATCAAAAAAAGGAAATCTAAAATAGACTTTCTATTCGATTTGGGGGGGCCCGAGGCAACTGCCCCGTATGCCCCTGCCTTAGTCAGGCTCTGCGTAAGATGGTGCACAGCTTGCAATAAGAACAAACAGTAATAAACAAATGGAAAGAGGCCAAATCAGGACTACCAAAAAAGCGAGTTATTCAAAATCTAGCAGCCATATCACCTTTTTTAACAATATATCTATAAATAACTAAAACAAATTTTCACTTCATTCAAACTCACCAGAATTACTTAATAACATTAATATCTTATGAAATAAGGCAGATTTGAGCTCAGAAATTATCTAATTTACTTCTTTTATTGAAAATAAAATTATCCGTTTGAAAATATCGCCTCGCAGAATAAGATGTAGTAAGCAAATGCAAACTTTCTAACCGGAACTAGAGCAGGTATTGAGCTCGAGATTGTTATTGTTTACATTTATATTGAAAACACCATCCATATCTTTTTCTTGTCTTATTAAAGGGGTCATTGACCTAGCTGTATGTTTCCCACGATAACGCGGGTATTAGAAAAGTTGGATACATTAGGTGCGACGAGTTTTTTTTCCTTGAAAAAAAAATAGAATTACGAAATACCTCTTTATAATTGACGAAATTCGTTTCCTCGAAGAAGAGGAGATAGTTATTTCGTAACTTCGACGCAATGTTTACTCGGAACATGTCAGTTGCTTCAAAACGGCTTAAAAAGCTTTCGGAAAAGGTTTCTTAAATTTGAGTATCGATTATCCGGAGAATGAAACTTGAGTATCCATTTTTTCACTGTGTAGTCATACATTAATATTTCGTTTTAAAAAATTGAACAAGGGTAATTCAATTTGATAAAAGGGGGCATTGCTTTTAAGAGTTTACCTGTTGCTGTCAGTGTCTGCGATAGGAGACTCTGCGCCATTGAAAACTGTGTCCGTTGATTGTAAGTTGGATATGTAGATCCCTGGAATAGATTAGGTCCACCAGGTGATGGATAACCTACAAAAGGATAATTTTAAGTGTTAAAACAGTGGTAGATAAAATTATAAAATTTCTAGAGATACGATTGTTTTTCGAGGATGTGCAGACATTAATAGTAACATTATAAGTATTTAAGAGTTTCTAAAATAACAAAACTTTGTTGACACTCTGCAGAATTTTATACATCCTGAGAACTTTTAAAAAAAGCTGATTGAACCTAACAAAGATAAGGTAGCGAGAACCTACAGCAGTTGCCAGATTAAGTGACCAGACTTCGGATTTATCCGTTCGTAATGCTATATCGGTTAATATCGTTGAAAAAGCCGCAGTGGCTAAGTGAATCGTCTTCCAATGAGATGAACCAGGTTCGAGTCCCAGCGGTGGCTGGTTAATGCGAATTTTTCTCCCGGTTCTTAACAACCACAGTTCTGACGTAAAATACCCTCAGTGGTAAACGGATCATGGAAAAGAACCCTCTTGTCATCAAGCTAATCGTGGAAGGTTTGCTTGGTTTTCATCTCCGTGTAACGCAGATGCGGGCTAGCTGATTCTGTAGCTCACTTGTCTTCTGAGTTGGGTTCAAAATTACTAGGCTACGCGGATGAACATTGATAGTTGTAAACTTAGGAGTGGGTCGGCTGTTCAACGCCGGTTATAAAATAAAATAAAACATCAATGAAAGAAGGAATTCGTGAGGAGGAACTCCATACTTGAACGCTGTACGATTTCTTTTTCTTATTTGAGTTTTTATATACATCATTAATAAGATTGATTTTATCTTCCCAGCAAAAGAGTTTTTAAATCTCGTGTAGATATCTACAGCTATAAAATACTTCTTCCACACCAACTCTAACAGCAAATGATAAACGCAGAACTTAATCAAAACTTAGTGGGAGCGATAAATTTAAAACCATAAAATCCATCTAAGATAAATTAGAATTCGTGCATCTTTATTGAATCATTCATTTCCAATTTCTTTCTCTCAATAGGGCTGGCCCAAGGGTAAGAAAAACGTTTGTAAAGGATATTTCTCTTAAAACTTGTACATAGCATTTTCCCATTGATTTATCGATCAATACTGCAACTAAATGGTTTTGGTAAAAATGTTGAGGGTAATACTTTGACCGGTTTTGTCTCTGAAAATAGCTCAATTTCTTCTACCAGACTAAGTCTACTGTCTGGCTAATACAGAATGAACTCTCAACGAGATTAATAGACTAGCTCATTTCACAAAAAAGTTGGGAGGGAGACGCAAGTTAAAATTAAAAACCCAACCAGAAACTAGTTTTAGTTCAAGTCGACTATCAGACTCTGAGCTCCGTTGTCAATTAAAAGTAAATAGTCCATTTCATTATTATAGCAGCAGCCACTAAGTCTGGTTTCGGGCTCTCACCTTGTGCTTGATAGACAGTATTTTGTTTAGAATAGACTTAAAGATGCAAGAAATGGTTACTTCTTTAATCGGTGTTAAAGCAATAGTTAAAGGTTGTAAAAATCATAAACGGTTACAATTAACATGGATTTAGAAGTTTCAGAACCTCATACTGAAGTAATCGCCATTATGGCGATCGAAATGAGCTGTAGGTGGCGTAGAGCAGAAGTCTCTACCTATTTCAACACTTCGCATGCTTTGCCCATTAGCGTGTGGAAAGTCATAGAGGAATGAAGTATGTTAGTTTCTCTCTTGATTTTTCATATAGATTAAAATCTTTTAAGTTGGAAAACTAGATGGAACTGAAAACTACATTGAACATAATTCTAAAGAAAAGCATCACGGAAATTTTAAAAAATATTTTTATTAAATAAAAAGGGAAAATATCATAGTATATTCCTATACAACTGAAAAGAGGAGGAGAGGAAAGGGAGAAGGGTCAAAGGCATGAAACCGGTCACTCCCCAGTTGGCGTATTCGAGTTTTGCGATCGCCAATAGCAAAAGTGCGACTGGTGATGGAGGACGGAGAACAGTTTTATTTTCTTTACTAATTTTATTTTATTTTATTCCGACAAATCTATATTTTTATTAGCACACTTGACGAAATTATCTTAGAAGTGCAGAGTGATACTCATGTGAATGAAAAAGATACGATGTAGGCACATTGAGAAAGTGCATATGGGTGATTCTATAAAAACCGGACAATATCATGTCCAAACAAAATATCACAAAATTGGCTTAAGATAGAAAGTTACTTTTTATACTTTTAAGACGTAATTTTCCTCATGTATTTCCATGCATATAAAAAATATTATTCTTTTATAACTTCCAATTTTTTTTTTTTTAAATTATGCCAATGCCTCTTGGCCTTTCAGAAACTTTTTTTACGCATATTTATTCAGAGTTTTGACACCAACATTTCAACATTAAAAGTATATTAATAAACTTTGTACACACAAAGGAGTAAAATGCTACTTTTTGAAACTGTTTAATCACTTAACGCACAAAGTTGTATCAATTATAAGCTTGTCCCAATGACTTCATGTTACTCTCCCAGCGTAAGAAACTTTTCTACCATTTTCAGAAAAAAAGAACTTATTTTTAATCTAACACATTGCAACCATGTTTATCCTCCCCTTTCTGTTGGACCTAACTTTCTTATCATACATTCGATGTTCTAAACTGAGGTTGTTCTAATTTAAACTTCGAGGCTAGTATATTGTTAACAAGGTAGTGTTTTATAACGATTTTTATTCTAATTTCATGTTTTTAATACCTCTCAAACCACACGTTTACTATCCTTCACCATTAATGTTTATTATTATATGACTACATGCCCTGTCTTCACTATTTATTGTCTTTGTAAATTATTTACTGTGAACAAAATGGCCTTAAAATGCACCGGATGCAACAACCCAGATTTATGTGTGGTAAAGAACTTGCAGTGCTCCCCTAGTGTGGAAAACATCATCCATGGATGTCTTCAAAGTAATGTCTTCTGCTGTTGTGTTAATTTTATCCTCACAGCGGGATCTCCGGACGATCCTATACTACGGGAGAAACACTTCATGGCGAAAATTCACTTTCCATAAAGATATAGAAAAAGTGATTTCAGGTAAAATCGTGAAGTTTTCAACACTGATACTTTTTTTTAAAAAATAACAAAATGCGAAAAAAAAGAAGAAGAAAAAACAATATGGTGAGGAGAAAGTGTCCCTACAATAATTTGTTTGCATTTTGGAAACCTTTTTTTCAGCTTTTGAAACTTCATGATTTAGCTGAACTCACTTTCTCTAAACTTAAAATCGTAAATTACCATCAGAGGTGAAATAGAATAAGTTTCGCCCGTGATACAGCGTCCTCTGCAATGAAAGTCCAATGAGTTGAGATCCCAGAACCACTGTTTTATTCCTAGTGCAGGATATGTGGCAATGACATTCAAGAAGTGCCAGAGTGTGCTAGAAAAATGTCCCGGGACTTCACTTAAGAATCGGGCATAGGGTAGTTAGGTAGGTACAAAATGACGCCAGTGGCGATTACTTGTTAACTATCAACGATTAATGGCTTAAGAGGACACTCTCCGTTGCAAATTGAGGAGATTTCCTAATCGTGCTCTGTGGAAGAAAAATCACCAAGTCTTGGCTACTTGGCAGGGCAGTGACCCGCTAGGAACTGACACTAAAAAAATTAAAAAAAACAACTTCGCAGAAAGTGACTAACTTTCGGACAAACATCTACATGTTTTTTTTTTGTTTTTTTTTTTAGCCAATTGGTAAAATGGTCTTGTTGTTTCGGTTGATGGCGTGCGCACTTTATTTGGGCGTCATCACACTTTTCAACTGTATTCAAAAGTAATAGTTAGTAAACAATGCGCATGCGTTGCTATGGCGACAGCTGCTGTTTGATAATTTCAGAATTTTTTTTTTACCAGGATTGGAAAACCAATCCGACGACAAACATCAATTGAGATAGTTTTTGCAATCTATGATTTGAATTGTTGTGGCGTTTATCGGAGTCAAATCAGAAAAAAGAAGCATTTGACCAATGGGTAACCAGTGATCGTAATAAAGCGATTGCAATTCTTTATTTTTTTTTAATTTTTCGTTTGAAATCAATTTGGCACCTTAGCGATTGTAATTGGCGTGGTAGATCACAATACGCCAATTCAGTTTCAACTGCATTGATCTATGCTTACTATATATCACAGCATACTATATATTATATATAACTGCATACTATATATCACAGTAAAGGACTAACTTGAAGGGTATAACATGTAGTCACCCCGGGCAAACATCTGCATGTTTTTTGTTTTTAATTTCTTCCATCTAAAACCAATTTAACTCCATTGGTGATTTAAAGTATAGAAAAAGAGAATACAGGTAAACCTAGAGTAAACCATGTAGTTTCAGTTACTGAAAAAATGATTTCAAAATAAAAACAATTGTGATCACCGCAAGGCGATCACAGGTTAACCATTGGCAAAATGGTTGTTGTCTAATTTATTATTATTTTTTTTTTTGGAAAAGCAACTTTACTGCGTTTTCATCTTGGACATCTTTAACTGTTAATCCCGAACTGCTCCGTACACAATTTCGCAGATATATTTGAATGCAGCTCAGACACATTCCGTGTAAATTCTTTTGATGACTGAATAGACATTGAACAGCCAATCGAGATCAATAATAACATTTTCGGATTGGTACAATGGTGATTCTAAGCTGCATCAGGCACCCGTTTCGGCTTTACAAGTTCATACATGAAATATGATTTGAAAGCTAGGCTTATTTCTCCAATTTTACATGAATAGTGAATGAACCATTTATATTTAGTGGAAGACAGTCTACGGTCTTGTGCAAGTCATTGGGTACTTTGACAATTGATCATTTTATCCCTAACTGGTGATCAACACCCAGTTCTCGTATTTTCATGAAAGGTGTTCGGAGAGCAGCCACCATTCGGTCTTCGGTAGGGTTCAATTCTCTTTGGTACTTTTGTGAACGACGGGTTTCATACTTGCGAACGGAATCCTTTCGTTTTTCCGTCTGTGGGTAATGCTTAAGGTATTCTAGTCTACTCATTTTGGCTTTTTCAGCCTCGGTAAGTTTAGGTTTTTTCTTGCTTCAGCTCT